GGAGACTGTCCTGGGAGACTGCCCTGGGAGACTGCCCTGGGAGACTGCCCTGGGAGACTGCCCTGGGAGACTGCCCTGGGAGACTGTCCTGGGAGACTGTCCTGGGAGACTGACCTGGGAGACTGACCTGGGAGACTGACCTGGGAGACTGACCTGGGAGACTGTCCTGGGAGACTGTCCTGGGAGACTGTCCTGGGAGACTGACCTGGGAGACTGCCCTGGGAGACTGCCCTGGGAGACTGCCCTGGGAGACTGCCCTGGGAGACTGCCCTGGGAGACTGTCCTGGGAGACTGTCCTGGGAGACTGACCTGGGAGACTGACCTGGGAGACTGCCCTGGGAGACTGACCTGGGAGACTGCCCTGGGAGACTGCCCTGGGAGACTGCCCTGGGAGACTGCCCTGGGAGACTGCCCTGGGAGACTGCCCTGGGAGACTGCCCTGGGAGACTGTCCTGGGAGACTGTCCTGGGAGACTGTCCTGGGAGACTGTCCTGGGAGACTGTCCTGTGAGACTGACCTGGAAGACTGACCTGGGAGACTGTCCTGGGAGACTGTCCTGGGAGACTGTCCTGGGAGACTGTCCTGGGAGACTGTCCTGGGAGACTGCCCTGGGAGACTGCCCTGGGAGACTGCCCTGGGAGACTGTCCTGGGAGACTGTCCTGGGAGACTGTCCTGGGAGACTGTCCTGGGAGACTGTCCTGGGAGACTGTCCTGGGAGACTGTCCTGGGAGACTGTCCTGGGAGACTGCCCTGGGAGACTGCCCTGGGAGACTGCCCTGGGAGACTGCCCTGGGAGACTGCCCTGGGAGACTGCCCTGGGAGACTGCCCTGGGAGACTGCCCTGGGAGACTGCCCTGGGAGACTGTCCTGGGAGACTGTCCTGGGAGACTGACCTGGGAGACTGTCTTGGGAGACTGTCTTGGGAGAACTGCTCAACGGCACCTAATGTACAGCATTGCTGTAACTTGGGGCGGTTCAGTTCCCAAGACCGTTACAGTATGTGCCTCTGTACCTTTCCCACCACCACTCACAGTATGTGCCTCTGTAACCTTCCCACCACCACTCACAGTATGTGCCTCTGTAACCTTCCCACCACCACTCACAGTATGTGCCTCTGTAACCTTCCCACCACCACTCACAGGATGGGTCTGTAACCTTCCCACCACCACTCACAGGATGGGTCTGTACCCTTCCCACCACCACTCACAGGATGGGTCTGTAACCTTCCCACCACCACTCACAGGATGGGTCTGTACCCTTCCCACCACCACTCACAGGATGGGTCTGTACCCTTCCCACCACCACTCACAGGATGGGTCTGTACCCTTCCCACCACCACTCACAGGATGGGTCTGTACCCTTCCCACCACCACTCACAGGATGGGTCTGTACCCTTCCCACCACCACTCACAGGATGGGTCTGTACCCTTCCCACCACCACTCACAGGATGGGTCTGTACCCTTCCCACCACCACTCACAGGATGGGTCTGTACCCTTCCCACCACCACTCACAGGATGGGTCTGTACCCTTCCCACCACCACTCACAGGATGGGTCTGTACCCTTCCCACCACCACTCACAGGATGGGTCTGTACCCTTCCCACCACCACTCACAGGATGGGTCTGTACCCTTCCCACCACCACTCACAGGATGGGTCTGTACCCTTCCCACCATCACTCACAGGATGGGTCTGTACCCTTCCCACCATCACTCACAGGATGGGTCTGTACCCTTCCCACCATCACTCACAGGATGGGTCTGTACCCTTCCCACCATCACTCACAGGATGGGTCTGTACCCTTCCCACCATCACTCACAGGATGGGTCTGTACCCTTCCCACCATCACTCACAGGATGGGTCTGTACCCTTCCCACCATCACTCACAGGATGGGTCTGTACCCTTCCCACCATCACTCACAGGATGGGTCTGTACCCTTCCCACCATCACTCACAGGATGGGTCTGTACCCTTCCCACCACCACTCACAGGATGGGTCTGTACCCTTCCCACCACCACTCACAGGATGGGTCGACCTGGGGGGCGGCCGTGTCTCCTGGTCGACCTGGGGGGCGGCCGTGTCTGCTGGTCGACCTGGGGGGCGGCCGTGTCTGCTGGTCGACCTGGGGGGCGGCCGTGTCTGCTGGTCGACCTGGGGGGCGGCCGTGTCTGCTGGTCGACCTGGGGGGCGGCCGTGTCTGCTGGTCGACCTGGGGGGCGGCCGTGTCTGCTGGTCGACCTGGGGGGCGGCCGTGTCTGCTGGTCGACCTGGGGGGCGGCCGTGTCTGCTGGTCGACCTGGGGGGCGGCCGTGTCTGCTGGTCGACCTGGGGGGCGGCGGTGTCTGCTGGTCGACCTGGGGGGCGGCGATGTCTGCTGGTCGACCTGGGGGGCGGCGATGTCTGCTGGTCGACCTGGGGGGCGGCGATGTCTGCTGGTCGACCTGGGGGGCGGCGATGTCTGCTGGTCGACCTGGGGGGCGGCGATGTCTGCTGGTCGACCTGGGGGGCGGCGATGTCTGCTGGTCGACCTGGGGGGCGGCGATGTCTGCTGGTCGACCTGGGGGGCGGCGATGTCTGCTGGTCGACCTGGGGGGCGGCGATGTCTGCTGGTCGACCTGGGGGGCGGCGATGTCTGCTGGTCGACCTGGGGGGCGGCGATGTCTGCTGGTCGACCTGGGGGGCGGCGGTCTGCTGGTCGACCTGGGGGGCGGCCGTCTGCTGGTCGACCTGGGGGGCGGCCGTGTCTGCTGGTCGACCTGGGGGGCGGCCGTGTCTGCTGGTCGACCTGGGGGGCGGCGATGTCTGCTGGTCGACCTGGGGGGCGGCGATGTCTGCTGGTCGACCTGGGGGGCGGCGATGTCTGCTGGTCGACCTGGGGGGCGGCGATGTCTGCTGGTCGACCTGGGGGGCGGCGATGTCTGCTGGTCGACCTGGGGGGCGGCGATGTCTGCTGGTCGACCTGGGGGGCGGCGATGTCTGCTGGTCGACCTGGGGGGCGGCGATGTCTGCTGGTCGACCTGGGGGGCGGCGATGTCTGCTGGTCGACCTGGGGGGCGGCGATGTCTGCTGGTCGACCTGGGGGGCGGCGATGTCTGCTGGTCGACCTGGGGGGCGGCGATGTCTGCTGGTCGACCTGGGGGGCGGCGATGTCTGCTGGTCGACCTGGGGGGCGGCGGTCTGCTGGTCGACCTGGGGGGCGGCCGTGTCTGCTGGTCGACCTGGGGGGCGGCGATGTCTGCTGGTCGACCTGGGGGGCGGCGATGTCTGCTGGTCGACCTGGGGGGCGGCGATGTCTGCTGGTCGACCTGGGGGGCGGCCGTGTCTGCTGGTCGACCTGGGGGGCGGCGATGTCTGCTGGTCGACCTGGGGGGCGGCCGTGTCTGCTGGTCGACCTGGGGGGCGGCGATGTCTGCTGGTCGACCTGGGGGGCGGCGATGTCTGCTGGTCGACCTGGGGGGCGGCCGTGTCTGCTGGTCGACCTGGGGGGCGGCGATGTCTGCTGGTCGACCTGGGGGGCGGCGATGTCTGCTGGTCGACCTGGGGGGCGGCGATGTCTGCTGGTCGACCTGGGGGGCGGCGATGTCTGCTGGTCGACCTGGGGGGCGGCGATGTCTGCTGGTCGACCTGGGGGGCGGCGATGTCTGCTGGTCGACCTGGGGGGCGGCGATGTCTGCTGGTCGACCTGGGGGGCGGCGATGTCTGCTGGTCGACCTGGGGGGCGGCGATGTCTGCTGGTCGACCTGGGGGGCGGCGATGTCTGCTGGTCGACCTGGGGGGCGGCGATGTCTGCTGGTCGACCTGGGGGGCGGCGATGTCTGCTGGTCGACCTGGGGGGCGGCGATGTCTGCTGGTCGACCTGGGGGGCGGCGATGTCTGCTGGTCGACCTGGGGGGCGGCGATGTCTGCTGGTCGACCTGGGGGGCGGCGATGTCTGCTGGTCGACCTGGGGGGCGGCCGTGTCTGCTGGTCGACCTGGGGGGCGGCCGTGTCTGCTGGTCGACCTGGGGGGCGGCCGTGTCTGCTGGTCGACCTGGGGGGCGGCCGTGTCTGCTGGTCGACCTGGGGGGCGGCGATGTCTGCTGGTCGACCTGGGGGGCGGCCGTGTCTGCTGGTCGACCTGGGGGGCGGCCGTGTCTGCTGGTCGACCTGGGGGGCGGCGATGTCTGCTGGTCGACCTGGGGGGCGGCCGTGTCTGCTGGTCGACCTGGGGGGCGGCCGTGTCTGCTGGTCGACCTGGGGGGCGGCGATGTCTGCTGGTCGACCTGGGGGGCGGCCGTGTCTGCTGGTCGACCTGGGGGGCGGCCGTGTCTGCTGGTCGACCTGGGGGGCGGCCGTGTCTGCTGGTCGACCTGGGGGGCGGCCGTGTCTGCTGGTCGACCTGGGGGGCGGCCGTGTCTGCTGGTCGACCTGGGGGGCGGCCGTGTCTGCTGGTCGACCTGGGGGGCGGCCGTGTCTGCTGGTCGACCTGGGGGGCGGCGATGTCTGCTGGTCGACCTGGGGGGCGGCGATGTCTCCAGGGGGGCCTGACAGCTGTGTGGACAGCGCTTCGGATTCGTAGTCCTGAGGTTCCGGGTTCGATCCCCGGTGGAGGCTCAGACAAATGGGGAGAGTTTCTTCCACCCTCATGCCCCTGTTCACCTAGCAGTAAATAGGTACCTGGGAGTTAGACAGCTGCTACGGGCTGCTTCCTGGGGGTGTGCGTAAAAAGAAAAAGGCCTGGTCGAGGACCGGGCCGCAGGGACGCTAAGCTCCGAAATCGTCTCAAGATAAGGTTATTGTCTACTTCTTCTTGTTTGTGGATTGGAATGACGTCAAGTTCCTTCCATTTACATGGGAACTTTGTCTTTTTGAAGGACTTTATTGATAAGAAATAGAATTAAATCTTGACCTATGCCTTGAGAATTCGTTATCATTGATACGGGCTCAAGGAGGAGATAGGGTATCGGTTCTTTATTTTTCTGCTAGCTTAGAGTTCAACGATAATGGTAGTGTTGATCACTTGTCATAAGTGTGGCAAGTCTGAGTGCTTATTAAACGTGTTGTTACCAGTTGTGGTAGTTTAAATCTGTGGTCACTGGAATTGTTCCGGAACCTTCCCAGCAGCTTCTCCGCCGTATTCTGGGTTTGTGTGGGACGCCGTGTGGACCTAAGGCTGCTCAAGGCTGCTCACAAGGACTCCTTGCTTAATTAAAGGTTTGGCGCCATTCCATCCTCTTAAATATCTAGTTCCCTCCTCCTGTCATAGTCAAGAACCTGCACACCAGTACTACAGGTGCACGGTGTGTGGTACAGGTGTGGGGTACAGGTGTACGGTGTGTGGTACAGGTGTGGGGTACAGGTGTACGGTGTGGGGTACAGGTGCACGGTGTGGGGTACAGGTGCACGGTGTGGGGTACAGGTGCACGGTGTGGGGTACAGGTGCACGGTGTGGGGTACAGGTGCACGGTGTGGGGTACAGGTGCACTGTGTGGGGTACAGGTGCACGGTGTGGGGTACAGGTGTGGGGTACAGGTGTACGGTGTGGGGTACAGGTGCACTGTGTGGGGTACAGGTGCACGGTGTGTGGTACAGGTGTGGGGTACAGGTGTACGGTGTGGGGTACAGGTGCACGGTGTGTGGTACAGGTGTGGGGTACAGGTGCACGGTGTGTGGTACAGGTGCACGGTGTGGGGTACAGGTGTGGGGTACAGGTGCACGGTGTGTGGTACAGGAGTGGGGTACAGGTGTACGGTGTGGGGTACAGGTGCACGGTGTGTGGTACAGGAGTGGGGTACAGGTGTACGGTGTGGGGTACAGGTGCACGGTGTGTGGTACAGGAGCACGGTGTGGGGTACAGGTGCACGGTGTGGGGTACAGGTGCACGATGTGTGGTACAGGTGTGGGGTACAGGTGCACGGTGTGGGGTACAGGTGTGGGGTACAGGTGCACGGTGTGGGGTACAGGTGCACTGTGTGGGGTACAGGTGCACGATGTGTGGTACAGGTGCACGGTGTGGGGTACAGGTGCACGGTGTGGGGTACAGGTGCACTGTGTGGGGTACAGGTGCACGATGTGTGGTACAGGTGTGGGGTACAGGTGCACGGTGTGGGGTACAGGTGCACGGTGTGGGGTACAGGTGCACGGTGTGGGGTACAGGTGCACGATGTGTGGTACAGGTGTGGGGTACAGGTGCACGGTGTGGGGTACAGGTGTGGGGTACAGGTGCACGGTGTGGGGTACAGGTGCACTGTGTGGGGTACAGGTGCACGATGTGTGGTACAGGTGCACGGTGTGGGGTACAGGTGCACGGTGTGGGGTACAGGTGCACTGTGTGGGGTACAGGTGCACGATGTGTGGTACAGGTGTGGGGTACAGGTGCACGGTGTGGGGTACAGGTGCACGTGTGGGGTACAGGTGCACGTACAGGTGCACGGTGTGGGGTACAGGTGTGGGGTACAGGTGCACTGTGTGGGGTACAGGTGCACTGTGTGGGTACAGGTGCACTGTGTGGGGTACAGGTGCACGGTGTGGGGTACAGGTGCACGGTGTGGGGTACAGGTGCACTGTGTGGGGTACAGGTGCACGATGTGTGGTACAGGTGTGGGGTACAGGTGCACGGTGTGGGGTACAGGTGCACTGTGTGGGGTACAGGTGCACGATGTGTGGTGGTGTGGGTACAGGTGCACTGTGTGGGGTACAGGTGCACGGTGGGGTACAGGTGGTACAGGTGCACGGTGTGGGGTACAGGTGCACTGTGTGGGGTACAGGTGCACTGTGTGGGGTACAGGTGCACGGTGTGGGGTACAGGTGCACGGTGTGGGGTACAGGTGCACTGTGTGGGGTACAGGTGCACGTGTGGGGTACAGGTGCACGATGTGTGGTACAGGTACAGGTGCACGGTGTGGGGTACAGGTGCACTGTGTGTACAGGGGTGTGGTACAGGTGTGGGGTACAGGTGCACGATGTGTGGTACAGGTGCACGGTGTGGGGTACAGGTGCACTGTGTGGGGTACAGGTGCACGGTGTGGGGTACAGGTGCACGGTGTGGGGTACAGGTGCACGGCGTGGGGTACAGGTGCACTGTGTGGGGTACAGGTGCACTGTGTGGGGTACAGGTGCACGGTGTGGGGTACAGGTGCACTGTGTGGGGTACAGGTGCACTGTGTGGGGTACAGGTGCACGGTGTGGGGTACAGGTGCACGGTGTGGGGTACAGGTGCACGGTGTGGGGTACAGGTGCACTGTGTGGGGTAGCCCCGTGACTGGACACGTAGCCCCGTGACTGGACACGTAGCCCCGTCACTGGACACGTAGCCCCGTCAGTGGACACGTAGCCCCGTGACTGGACACGTAGCCCCGTGACTGGACACGTAGCCCCGTCACTGGACACGTAGCCCCGTCACTGGACACGTAGCCCCGTCACTGGACACGTAGCCCCGTCACTGGACACGTAGCCCCGTGACTGGACACGTAGCCCCGTGACAGGACACGTAGCCCCGTGACAGGACACGTAGCCCCGTCACTGGACACGTAGCCCCGTGACTGGACACGTAGCCCCGTGACTGGACACGTAGCCCCGTGACTGGACACGTAGCCCCGTGACTGGACACGTAGCCCCGTGACTGGACACGTAGCCCCGTGACTGGACACGTAGCCCCGTGACTGGACACGTAGCCCCGTGACTGGACACGTAGCCCCGTGACTGGACACGTAGCCCCGTGACTGGACACGTAGCCCCGTCACTGGACACGTAGCCCCGTCACTGGACACGTAGCCCCGTCACTGGACACGTAGCCCCGTGACTGGACACGTAGCCCCGTGACTGGACACGTAGGCCCGTCACTGGACACGTAGCCCCGTGACTGGACACGGAGCCCCGTCACTGGACACGTAGCCCCGTGACTGGACACGTAGCCCCGTGACTGGACACGTAGGCCCGTCACTGGACACGTAGCCCCGTGACTGGACACGTAGCCCCGTGACTGGACACGTAGCCCCGTGACTGGACACGTAGCCCCGTCACTGCATGGACACGTAGCCCCGTCACTGGACACTAGCCCCGTGACTGGACACGGGACGAGAGCACACCAGCTACCGTCCACTCTCAAGCGGGAACATTGAGGTCTGTGACCAAGAAGACTTCAACCATCCGTATTGGTTGATCTCTTGTGTGACGCATCGGCCTGTTGTGGTTAGTAATCACGTCTATGTCATCAACTCTCACTTCTGCTGGCAAGGAGACTCACCAGGATAAGGTCCGGTAGCCAATCCGTCTTCAGATCAAGTCCTTTCCATCCAGCGGTCGAACTCAAAGATGCTTTCGTCAATTTCAACATGCTGTTCATTCAAAATAGGAATTTTCTCAAATATAAATTAATATTGTTATATATTAGCTTACTGTACCAACCTGTCCTCCTGCAAGGAACGTCGCTTTTCGCTCGTATGCGTTACATACGACCAAAAATGGTCGTACTAGAAAATGTAAGCGGCTGGCGAAAGTGACTTACTGGCCCGTTTTCTGTTTTGGGTCCTCTGGTAGGTTAGGAGAGGACACTTTAAATTGACCGTTTTCTTGACGTTGGGGCACCTTAGGAGGACGGGCTGACTGTGCACATATAGGCATTGGTTGGGTGTTTAGGTTCTGTTGGCGAGTATTTGTAGGACGTGGGTGAAGCATTTACAGCGTTGGGGTTCGAACAGAGGACGTCAGCGAAGCACTTGTTCCGGAAGTGTTCGGACGTCATCAGTTGTGAGTCGTGTGTAAACCGTTATTCATTCATAAACAACAGGGGGTTTGGCGGGTGCATGGAATGGATTTTGGGCCATTGTTTGAGGACGAGCTGCACCGCCCTCATAAGCCAAGCTAAGTTGCTTAGCTTCTGTAATTGTAGTCGTTCTCGAACATCACTTTTGATATACATTAAACTGTGTAACTAGCTTATCAAGACTGTAACTTGCTTAGCTAAGAGAATATTTAAGATTCAGTTCTTGAGCCCATTATGTAGCTAAGTAATCTCTCCCATCACCGCCCCCCCCCAGCCCGTCCTCTTCAACAAAGCCCAAATGTTACCTCCCTGCAGCCACCAAACACCACCTTCATCAATGATCCCACAACACACGACTCTCCTTCAACAACTATTTACTGACCACCACTATTCAAGTCCTAACTCTGTAAATGCTTTACACACGTACTACAAATAATTCTAAAATTATGATCACCTTATCTAGTAGTAGCAGGCATCCACCAGTCTCAGGAGACTATGGAGTTGTGCTCTGGTTGTCGGTCTGGAGTGGCCTCTCCAGGGCGCAAAGCCAGGGTAGGTTGATATAGGGGAGAAGCTGTCACCCATGCAGCAGGTCCCCCCTCTCCACGGCGTCCAAAGTCTCCAATGGAAAGGCAAACGCCAATGCGATTGGTTCCAGCGCCGTCGCAGGAACTGTCAGAACGATGTTGAAGATAACATCGAACTGCCCTAAGGGCTCCAGCTCCGGAGGTTACCTCGAAGTTGGTGAAAGAAGGCTCAGGGACTCCAAGCCCGGAGACCGCCCCGAGTCTCCGGGTATGTGGGTGCATAATATGCTAATATATAATATTATACTTTAGAGATCCAATTTTTAATGGACAGTGTTAATTGATGAGTGTGTCTTTGGGGGGTCGGCCACTGCATAGAATGGACATTGCTTGAGGACAAACTGTGCCCACGGGATGGGTATGTGGGTGCCTTACCGCCCACGGGATGGGTATGTGGGTGCCCTACCACCCACGGGATGGGTATGTGGGTGCCTTACCGCCCCACGGGATGGGTATGTGGGTGCCTTACCGCCCCACGGGATGGGTATGTGGGTGCCCTACCGCCCACGGGATGGGTATGTGGGTGCCCTACCGCCCACGGGATGGGTATGTGGGTGCCCTACCGCCCACGGGATGGGTATGTGGGTGCCCTACTGCCCACGGGATGGGTATGTGGGTGCACTACTGCCCACGGGATGGGTATGTGGGTGCACTACCGCCCACGGGATGGGTATGTGGGTGCACTACCGCCCACGGGATGGGTATGTGGGTGCACTACCGGCCACGGGATGGGTATGCGGGTGCACTACCGCCCACGGGATGGGTATGTGGGTGCCCTACCACCCACGGGATGGGTATGTGGGTGCACTACCGCCCACGGGATGGGTATGTGGGTGCACTACCGCCCACGGGATGGGTATGTGGGTGCACTACCGCCCACGGGATGGGTATGTGGGTGCACTACCGCCCACGGGATGGGTATGTGGGTGCACTACCGCCCACGGGATGGGTATGTGGGTGCACTACCGCCCACGGGATTGGTATGTGGGTGCCTTACCGCCCACGGGATGGGTATGTGGGTGCCCTACCGCCCACGGGATGGGTATGTGGGTGCACTACCGCCCACGGGATGGGTATGTGGGTGCCCTACCACCCACGGGATGGGTATGTGGGTGCCTTACCGCCCCACGGGATGGGTATGTGGGTGCCCTACTGCCCACGGGATGGGTATGTGGGTGCCCTACTGCCCACGGGATGGGTATGTGGGTGCCCTACTGCCCACATGATGGGTATGTGGGTGCCCTACTGCCCACGGGATGGGTATGTGGGTGCCCTACTTCCCACGGGATGGGTATGTGGGTGCCCTACTGCCCACGGGATGGGTATGTGGGTGCCCTACCGCCCACGGGATGGGTATGTGGGTGCACTACCGCCCACGGGATGGGTATGTGGGTGCACTACCACCCACGGGATGGGTATGTGGGTGCCCTACCGCCCACGGGATGGGTATGTGGGTGCACTACCGCCCACGGGATGGGTATGTGGGTGCACTACCACCCACGGGATGGGTATGTGGGTGCCCTACTGCCCACGGGATGGGTATGTGGGTGCCCTACTGCCCACGGGATGGGTATGTGGGTGCCCTACTGCCCACGGGATGGGTATGTGGGTGCACTACGGCCCACGGGATGGGTATGTGGGTGCCCTACTGCCCACGGGATGGGTATGTGGGTGCCCTACTGCCCACGGGATGGGTATGTGGGTGCCCTACTGCCCACGGGATGGGTATGTGGGTGCCCTACTGCCCACGGGATGGGTATGTGGGTGCCCTACTGCCCACGGGATGGGTATGTGGGTGCAGAACAATGAACTAACTCAAACTATATTTCATTGCTGTACATGTAACTCACTTTCTCACCGTATATATTGACTCTCTACCACTTCTCTTTACGGGCTATTCATGCCCGTGCCACCTCCTGGTTGGCTTAATGTTAATCAATCTTCCCCAGCCCTTGTGTAGGGTCCACGACGGGGACAAGTGTCCAGCGTCCTGTATAAGGTCGTTTCCGTTCTCGACACAGTCAAGAATTCCGGGTTCGAATCCCGGGCGGGACAAATAGTTAGGCACATTTCATTTCACCTAATGGGTCTGTTCACCTAGCAGTAAGTTGGTACTCAGGAGTTAGTCAGCGTGTTGTGGGGTGGCATCCTGGGCGGGGTCAGTAATTCGACCTTGGGAGGGGGCGGGTGGGGGGGGGGGGACCTCGATAAAAGCCAAAGGTGTATGAATACACGCTGGCTTCCTGTCCCCCTACACAGTGAATTATATTATTGTTCTGGCGTGGGAGGTTTGGGCGTGTGATATTCCGCCCTTTATTGTCACTTGCCGTGTGGTGGTAGTGTCAACATGTGCCACAGTGGCAGCCTTGTGGGTCGTGGCAGTGTTTCCTGCAACACTACGTTACCTAAGTCATCTGTGTCTGCTTCATCAACTGTGTCACGGGGGAGTGGTAACACGTGAAACGTTGGCGTGACAACTTGAGCTTTGTTTGAAGCTTTCTTTGACGTGTTCTGTCCAGTCGGTTTGATCTGTTACTGTGTCTTGTATTTCTCAGTTGGTGCCAGCACAGCTGGTGTTGTTGTGGATGTTCTGGGGGCGAGGGATGCTGTGTATCTGCGCTTTTGTTTATGAAGTTAGTGTTGTGGCTGGAATACTCTGGTGTTGTGTGCACACTTTGGTGGTTGTGGCGTACTGATGCCTTCGCTTCCTCTAACGCCTCATATAGAGTCTTGGCATTCTGTTGATTTACTATGGCGTTGATGACATGAGGTCACGAGGAGAGGAGCCAACATCTCCTGCAGATGTTGGCTCCTCTTCATGTTCCTGTGATGTATGTAGTCCAGTGTCTTATGTGTTAGTATCCTGATGCCTTGTCTTGCCTCCCAGCCCTCGTGTCCTCTTCAGCGGCGGCTTCACCTGCTGCTAGACATGGAGGAACTGAGGCTCGTGTTACTCCAGACTTCCTTATTGACAATTTGTGCCATCGTTGCTGATGATTGTTCTGTTAATACCCAGCATTTTAGACACTGGTGGTGTTGGCGTGCTCGGGGGTGTTGCGGGGGGTTATCTTGAGGTTATCTTGAGATGATTTCGGGGCTTTAGTGTCCACGCGGCCCGGTTTTCGAACAGGCCTCCACCCCCAGTAAGCAGCCCGTGACAGCTAACACCCGGGTACCTATTTTACTGCTAGGTAACAGGGGCATAGGGTGAAAGAAACTCTGCCCATTGTTTCTCGCCGGCGCCTGGGACCGGGGTTACCTAGGCCGGATTTTCTTCAGGATGCGCTGCTGTGTATTGCCACCGTTTCACCTCTTTATGAAGACTATTTCTTAGCCAAGACGAGACGTAACTTGTTACATGCATAACGATGTTGTTGAGGAGTCGTATCGTCGGTGTCTACCGGCTGCAGTATGTCAGTGTGCTGGCGTTGTTGGTGGAAAATCTCTTGAGTTTGTCGTTGTATGTTCCTGACGCCGCCACAGGCTCCGGGATCCCTCCTGCACCGGAGATTGTCATAATGCATTCAAAAGCTTGCCAGTGTCATCACGTGATCACTTACTGATCACTGGGCGATCACCATGACTGACCTTCCTGTAAGAGTGGGGGAGGGAGGGAGGACGGGCTGTGGTCTGAGGACGGGTTGGGAGCTGTATGAGAACGGGCTGTGGTCTGAAGACGGGTTGGGGGCTGTATGAGGACGGGCTGTGGTCTGAGGACGGGTTGGGGGCTGTATGAGAACGGGCTGTGGTCTGAGGACGGGTTGGGGGCTGTATGAGGACGGGCTGTGGTCTGAGGACGGGTTGGGGGCTGTATGAGAACGGGCTGTGGTCTGAGGACGGGTTGGGGGCTGTATGAGGACGGGCTGTGGTCTGAGGACGGGTTGGGGGCTGTATGAGAACGGGCTGTGGTCTGAAGACGGGTTGGGGGCTGTATGAGGACGGGCTGTGGTCTGAGGACGGGTTGGGGGCTGTATGAGAACGGGCTGTGGTCTGAAGACGGGTTGGGGGCTGTATGAGGACGGGCTGTGGTCTGAGGACGGGTTGGGGGCTGTATGAGAACGGGCTGTGGTCTGAAGACGGGTTGGGGGCTGTATGAGAACGGGCTGTGGTCTGAAGACGGGTTGGGGGCTGTATGAGAACGGGCTGTGGTCTGAGGACGGGTTGGGGGCTGTATGAGGACGGGCTGTGGTCTGAAGACGGGTTGGGGGCTGTATGAGAACGGGCTGTGGTCTGAAGACGGGTTGGGGGCTGTATGAGAACGGGCTGTGGTCTGAAGACGGGTTGGGGGCTGTATGAGGACGGGCTGTGGTCTGAAGACGGGTTGGGGGCTGTATGAGAACGGGCTGTGGTCTGAGGACGGGTTGGGGCTGTATGAGAACGGGCTGTGGTCTGAAGACGGGTTGGGGGCTGTATGAGAACGGGCTGTGGTCTGAAGACGGGTTGGGGGCTGTATGAGGACGGGCTGTGGTCTGAAGACGGGTTGGGGGCTGTATGAGAACGGGCTGTGGTCTGAAGACGGGTTGGGGGCTGTATGAGAACGGGCTGTGGTCTGAAGACGGGTTGGGGGCTGTATGAGGACGGGCTGTGGTCTGAGGACGGGTTGGGGGCTGTATGAGAACGGGCTGTGGTCTGAGGACGGGTTGGGGGCTGTATGAGGACGGGCTGTGGTCTGAAGACGGGTTGGGGGCTGTATGAGGACGGGCTGTGGTCTGAAGACGGGTTGGGGGGAAGCTGACCATATGAAGTGAACCTTTTCGCCTGGGCGCTTGAAAAGTCAGTCTGACTCCTGGCTTCTCCATGACTGTGAAAGACAGTTCTTAATGAAGACTTTTATAACTGGCTCTGGTTGATCAGGGACTGGGCATGCAATGACCCTTGCAGTACTATTGGCCTGCCCAGCTAGCCATAGATACCCAACGGAGCAGATCCAAGTCCGAGACCAGAGTGTTGAGGACAGTGCAACCATGAATGTGCATTCGGGAGATTCTACGCTGAGTGGCATATCGTGCACTCGCTTCCACAACTTGAGTCGTGAAACTCCATTTTCTGGCACTCGATACTGTAAGCCATAAAGAGTCTTAATAAAGAGATGACCTGCTTGCGAGATATGTCAAACTGCAAGATCCAAAGTTACTGATAACCTTTCAAGGAAAATTATGAATTTTTTGGGTGAAATTATAAGAAGTGTCATACAAAAAAGATAACGAATATCATGGACTATTCCTTTAGGCTTAATAATATGAAATTGTTTTGAAAGTTAAATAGTTAGCATTGACCAACGACCTAACTAATGTTGTGTGAGAGATGTGTACAGTCTACCTGCCCCAGCTTGTATCCACATTAATTCTACGTAGACAACAGCTGAGAGAGAAGAAGGAAGAATACTTGGGAGACCCAAGCACTGCCGGTACGTCTAGTTGATATATAATATATTTTACATGTACAATGTAATGCCTTAAAGGTCTTAATGATTTGAATAGTCTAGCAGAGCCCGTTTATGAGGTGTTGTGTGGTTACAGGTAGAGCAGCGGTGAGGACCCGTGAGGAGCCGTGAGGAGCCGTGAGGACCCGTGAGGACCCGTGAGGAGCCGTGAGGACCCGTGAGGACCCGTGAGGACCCATAGTGTGGCGCCAGCGGTGGTCACCGCTGTACCGACACTATTGTGAAGGGTGGTGAGCAGCAGGCACGGAGGCGATGATGAGGGTGGTGAGGATGGTGATGCTGGCTGGGGTGATGGTGGCTGGGGTGATGAGCATGCCCTCCCGAGCCCCCAGACAGTCCCTCATCAGCGAGATCCTGACCAGACTCATCAGCAGCGGCAGCCCCACCTTACACCCCCACGTCCAGGACACCGTCAGTATACCCATCACTGTAGCACCTTCACCACTCTCCTGTCCCGACCTGTCCCTGCCTCGACCTGTCCCTGCCTCGACCTGTCCCTGCCTCGACCTCTCCCTGCCTCGACCTGTCCCTGCCTCGACCTCTCCCTGCCTCGACCTGTCCCTGCCTCGACCTGTCCCTGCCTCGACCTGTCCCTGTCCCGACCTGTCCCTGTCCCGACCTGTCCCTGTCCCGACCTGTCCCTGTCCCGACCTGTCCCTGTCCCGACCTGTCCCTGCCTCGACCTGTCCCTGCCTCGACCTCTCCCTGTCCCGACCTGTCCCTGCCTCGACCTGTCCCTGTCCCGACCTGTCCCTGCCTCGACCTGTCCCTGTCCCGACCTGTCCCTGTCCCGACCTGTCCCTGTCCCGACCTGTCCCTGTCCCGACCTGTCCCTGTCCCGACCTGTCCCTGCCTCGACCTGTCCCTGCCTCGACCTCTCCCTGTCCCGACCTGTCCCTGTCCCGACCTGTCCCTGCCTCGACCTGTCCCTGCCTCGACCTCTCCCTGTCCCGACCTGTCCCTGTCCCGACCTGTCCCTGCCTCGACCTGTCCCTGCCTCGACCTGTCCCTGCCTCGACCTGTCCCTGTCCCGACCTGTCCCTGTCCCGACCTGTCCCTGTCCCGACCTGTCCCTGTCCCGACCTGTCCCTGCCTCGACCTGTCCCTGCCTCGACCTCTCCCTGTCCCGACCTGTCCCTGCCTCGACCTCTCCCTGTCCCGACCTGTCCCTGCCTCGACCTGTCCCTGTCCCGACCTGTCCCTGCCTCGACCTGTCCCTGCCTCGACCTGTCCCTGTCCCGACCTGTCCCTGTCCCGACCTGTCCCTGCCTCGACCTGTCCCTGTCCCGACCTGTCCCTGCCTCGACCTGTCCCTGCCTCGACCTGTCCCTGTCCCGACCTGTCCCTGTCCCGACCTGTCCCTGCCTCGACCTCTCCCTGTCCCGACCTGTCCCTGTCCCGACCTGTCCCTGCCTCGACCTCTCCCTGTCCCGACCTGTCCCTGCCTCGACCTGTCCCTGTCCCGACCTGTCCCTGCCTCGACCTGTCCCTGCCTCGACCTGTCCCTGTCCCGACCTGTCCCTGTCCCGACCTGTCCCTGCCTCGACCTGTCCCTGTCCCGACCTGTCCCTGTCCCGACCTGTCCCTGTCCCGACCTGTCCCTGCCTCGACCTCTCCCTGTCCCGACCTGTCCCTGTCCCGACCTGTCCCTGCCTCGACCTCTCCCTGTCCCGACCTGTCCCTGCCTCGACCTGTCCCTGTCCCTGTCCCGACCTGTCCCTGCCTCGACCTGTCCCTGTCCCGACCTGTTCCTGTCCCGACCTGTCCCTGTCCCGACCTGTCCCTGCCTCGACCTGTCCCTGCCTCGACCTGTCCCTGCCTCGACCTGTCCCTGCCTCGACCTGTCCCTGCCTCGACCTGTCCCTGCCTCGCCCTGTCCCTGCCTCGCCCTCTCCCTGTCCCTGCCTCGACCTGTCCCTGCCCCAAGTACTTACAAGGTTTCCGATTATCACTTCACTATAGTGTAAACATTGGCCTGCCAATGTAAACATTGGGCTGCTAATGTGCAGTAGAGCTGCATGGTGGACCCCGCGCCAGGCTCCCTGGGTCAGCACGGTGGTCTAGTACAAGGCAGTCTTCCCCTTCATAAGGAGAAGGCTGCAATAAGACCTTTGATATTAGGCTTCATTACCTGGCACTCTTGGACCTGCTTCAGGTTATGCAGGTCACTTGTGGTGTCTGCACTATAGGACAGACAGCAGTTAACTTGAACCCATACAGAGATGTATGCCAGTTATTCTCGGTAATTATAGTTAGGATGTAAAGACCATTACTGACATGGTCAATAATAACTAAGAGTTAGGGGGTGGCAAGATTGAAGTAATAACTGGATAAAAGGCTATAAAGATGGGGGATAAAAGAGTTTTCAAATGTAACACAAAATAGAATATGGAAACAAAAATTGGTGTAAATTACTATATATATATATATATATATATATATATATATATATATATATATATATATATATATATATATATATATATATATATATATATATATATGTCGTACCTAGTAGCCAGAACGCACTTCTCAGCCTACTATGCAAGGCCCGATTTGCCTAATAAGCCAAGTTTTCATGAATTATTTTTCGACTACCTAACCTACCTAACCTAACCTAACTTTTTCGGCTACCTAACCTAACCTAACCTATAAAGATAGGTTAGGTTAGGTTAGGTAGGGTTGGTTAGGTTCGGTCATATATCTACGTTAATTTTAACTCTAATAAAAAAAATTGACCTCATACATAATGAAATGGGTAGCTTTATCATTTCATAAGAAACAAATTAGAGAAAATATATTAATTCAGGAAAACTTGGCTTATTAGGCAAATCGGGCCTTGCATAGTAGGCTGAGAAGTGCGTTCTGGCTACTAGGTACGACATATATATATATATAATATATATATATATATAATATATATTTCTAATTTTAGATTCTGGAAAGACCTGAGCAAGTGCAGGTTTGGAAACATGGTTATAAAGTTATGGACATAATGTGATAGACGTAATTAAGCGCGTTAGATTGTTTCCAGCGTAGGTTAGACATGTGTGTATCTATACTATAAGAGGATGTCTCAGTCCGAAGTTAGAGGCCACCTAGGGCTGACCTTGCTCAGGATTTGCAGAGGAAATGATGTGGGGACCGGGACGGACATAGGCTGGTCAGGGTAGGCCTAAATTAAATCAGTTAAAAGTAATTATTCACCCCCCCCCACCCATCTGGTTCTCACGGACTCAATTTTGGTCAAGTGAAATGTTGGTGGCGGTGACCGAAGACTTTTGTCACAACAAATAATTCTTTCCTCAAACAAAGTAGTTTCCGTGCTCTTTAATATATTTTATAGCCTTCCCAGCTTGGTGCTTCTTTTGATAATTACTTACTTCCTGAAAGCAATTTGCATACAGAATAATGGGAGTTAAAAAGCAAGTTAAGGTAAGTGTGGATGGTTGTGTTACAGGGGTCGCTGGGTCGTGAGGCCGGGTACCTGGTGGAGAGCCACACCGTCACCACGGAGGACGGCTACCTCCTCACACTCCATCATCTACCACCGTACGCCAACCCCTCCAGACGCCGCTACCTCCACCTCAGGTGAGGCTCTCCAGTCCCCGCTCAAGTGTACGTATTCCCGTGCCTGCTCCTATATGAGGGTGTGTGTGTGTGTGTGTATAATATATAACTGAAAACTCACACCCCAGAAGTGACTCGAACCCCTACTGCCAGGAGCAACGCAACTGGTATGTACAGGACGCCTTAATCCACTTGACCATCACGACCGGACATAATGGTCAAGTGGATTAAGTGATGGTCAAGTGGATTAAGGCGTCCTGTACATACCAGTTGCGTTGCTCCTGGCAGTAGGGGTTCGAGTCACTTCTGGGATGTGAGTTTTCAGTTGCATATAGTCCTGAGGACCATTCAGGCCTGTTCGCATATATATATATATATATATATATATATATATATATATATATATATATATATATATATATATATATATATATATATATATATATATATTAATTAAATCTGGCGACTTACCCACACGTCAGTTCACCTAAAAATAGTGGTCAGGGCTCCCCATGATAACAGGACTCCCCCCATGGTAACAGGACTCCCCCCAGGGTAACAGGACCCCCCAGGGTAACAGGACCCCCCCAAGGTAACAGGGTCCCCCCATGGTAACAGGACTCCCCCCAGGGTAACAGGACCCCCCATGGTAACAGGACTCCCCCATGGTAACAGGACTCCCCCCATGGTAACAGGACTCCCCCATGGTAACAGGACTCCCCCCATGGTAACAGGACTCCCCCCATGGTAACAGGACTCCCCTAGGGTAACAGGACTCCCCCTAGGGTAACAGGACTCCCCCTAGGGTAACAGGACTCCCCCCCATGGTAACAGGATCACCTTCCCATGGTAACAGGACCCCCCATGGTAACAGGACTCCCCCATGGTAACAGGACTCCCCCCCATGGTAACAGGACTCCCCCCCATGGTAACAGGACTCCCCTCATGGTAACAGGACTCCCCCCATGGTAACAGGACTCCCCCCCATGGTAACAGGACTCTCCCCTATGGTAACAGGACTCCCCCAAGGGTAACAGGACCCCCCCAGGGTAACAGGACCCCCCCATGGTAACAGGGTCCCCCCATGGTAACAGGACTCCCCCCAGGGTAACAGGACCCCCCATGGTAACAGGACTCCCCCATGGTAACAGGACTCCCCCCATGGTAACAGGACTCCCCCATGGTAACAGGACTCCCCCCATGGTAACAGGACTCCCCCATGGTAACAGGACTCCCCCCAGGACTCCCCCTATGGTAACAGGACTCCCCCATGGTAACAGGACTCCCCCCAGGGTAACAGGACTCCCCCTAGGGTAACAGGACTCCCCCTAGGGTAACAGGACTCCCCTAGGGTAACAGGATCACCCCCCCCCCATGGTAACAGGACTCCACCCATGGCAACAGGACTCCCCCTAGGGTAACAGGATCACCCCCCCCATGGTAACAGGACTCCCCCATGGCAACAGGACTCCCCCTAGGGTAACAGGACTCCCCCCCCCAGGACTCCCCTAGGGTAACAGGACTCCCCCCATGGTAACAGGACTCCCCCCATGGTAACAGGACTCCCCCCCCCCCCCCATGGTAACAGGACTCCCCCCCCATGGTAACAGGACTCCCCCCCATGGTAACAGGACTCCCCCCCCATGGTAACAGGACTCCCCCCCCATGGTAACAGGACTCCCCCCCATGGTAACAGGACTCCCCCCCATGGTAACAGGACTCCCCCCCCATGGTAACAGGACTCCCCCCCATGGTAACAGGACTCCCCCCCCCATGGTAACAGGACTCCCCCCCCATGGTAACAGGACTCCCCCCCCATGGTAACAGGACTCCCCCCATGGTAACAGGACTCCCCCCCATGGTAACAGGACTCCCCCATGGTAACAGGACTCCCCCCATGGTAACAGGACTCCCCCCCATGGTAACAGGACTCCCCCCATGGTAACAGGACTCCCCCAAGGGTAACAGGACCCCCCAGGGTAACCCCCCCCATGGTAACAGGGTCCCCCCATGGTAACAGGACTCCCCCCATGGTAACAGGACCCCCCCATGGTAACAGGACTCCCCCCATGGTAACAGGACTCCCCCCATGGTAACAGGACTCCCCCCATGGTAACAGGACTCCCCCCATGGTAACAGGACTCCCCCATGGTAACAGGACTCCCCCTAGGGTAACAGGACTCCCCCTAGGGTAACAGGACTCCCCCCCATGGTAACAGGACTCCCCCCATGGTAACAGCCCCCCATGGTAACAGGACTCCCCCCATGGTAACAGGACTCCCCTAGGGTAACAGGACTCCCCCCATGGTAACAGGACTCCCCCCATGGTAACAGGACTCCCCCCATGGTAACAGGACTCCCCCCATGGTAACAGGACTCCCCCCCCCATGGTAACAGGACTCCCCCCCCATGGTAACAGGACTCCCCCCATGGTAACAGGACTCCCCCCATGGTAACAGGACTCCCCCCATGGTAACAGGACTCTCCCCCTATGCTAACAGGACTCTCCCCCTATGGTAACAGGACTCCCCCCCCATGGGTACAGGACTCCTCCCCCCATGGGTACAGGACTCCCCCCCCTGGGAACAGGACTCCCCCCAGGGTAACAGGACTCCCCCCATGGTAACAGGACTCCCCCCATGGTAACAGGACTCCCCCAGGGGTAACAGGACCCCCCAGGGGTAACAGGACTCCCCCTAGGGTAACCAGTTGGAATACGAGTTCACAACCTGACTGCTGCCGGCCTAGCCCCCAGTGAAACATCACAAAATATCCTGTTATACCATGGATATGATAGCAGCCTAACCAGGCCCACTGGGGTAGTAAATGGGGCTAATAAAAACACTTTATTCTCCCAAAGCACGCACCCTTGTAACAAAGTCCTGGTTGGTGAAAGTTACTTTACTGTCCTTTACTCCCTGTGTGTATGTATTTTTATTTTATTTATCTATTTATTTATATACAAGGTATATTGGGTTTATGAGAGTACATAGCATAGATGTTTTTTTTATATTCTTGTAAAGCCACTAACACGCACAGCGTTTCGGACAGGTCCTTAATCTAACAGATAATTTTAAGTTGGTAATTTCTAGCAAAATTGAGAAATGTTAACAGGTACGTTGTAAGAAAATTTGACGAAGATTAGTAGGTACATTATTGTAAAATTTGAGGATTATCAACAGGTGCTTTGTAGCGTAATTTGAGGATTATATCTAGGTATAATGTAGTAAAATAGGTGTTCAATATAACTACCATGATATAAGATGATAGCAGTGATTACAATAGTGAAGTTGAATGACTTAGGCACATATATTGGGGGAGTGGGTAGCACAAGATACAGTGAGAGTTTAAGGCACTTGGTAGGAAATTATGAGGATGAAATTAAGTACTTTTCGGTTTTATTTTTGAATAAGGCATAGGTTGGACAGCTTTTCTATTTGTTAGGGAGCGAGTTCCATAGACTAGGTCCCTTTATTTGCATAGTGTTTACACAGATTTAGTTTGACTCTGGGGATGTCAAAGATATATTTATTTCCGGTGTAGTGATTATGGGAGTTCTATGTGGTCCACCAAGACCTTGGTCTTGAGGTTCCACCGTACCGCAATGTTGTAGCCAGACTGGATCGCCAAAGTAGAGAGAGGCTCCGTGACACCTGGTTGATGGGGTTCTGGGAGTTCTTCTACTCCCCAAGCCCCGCCCGAGGCCAGGCTTGACTTGTGAGAGTTTGGTCCACCAGGCTGTTGCTTGGAGAGGCCCGCAGTGCCATATACCCACCACAGCCCGGTTGGTCCGGCACTCCTTGGAGGAAACAATCTAGTTTCCTCTTGAAGATGTCCACGGTTGTTCCGGCAATATTTCTTATAGTCGCTGGGAGGACGTTGAACACCCGCGGACCTCTGATGTTTATACAGTGTTCTCTGATTGTGCCTATGGCACCTCTGCTCTTCACTGGTTCTATTCTGCATTTTCTTCCATATCGTTCACTCCTGCACAGTAAAATAACAACGTACTGATTTGGAACCTGTCCCTCCAGTATTTTCCATGTGTATATTATTTGGTATCTCTCTCGTCTCCTTTCTAGTGAGCACAAAATTTTAGAGCTTTGAGACGATGTGCTCTCAAGGCTGTGGCAGGCTATCATCCAAGCTATGATGCAAATGTGAGAATTGTCAAAATGATGTATCTCTCATATTTTTATTTTATTATTTTATTTTATTTATATATATATACAAGAAGGTACATTGGGTTTGTGAGAATACATAGCATAGTACAGTAATTACACTCTTGTAAAGCCACTAGTACGCGTATATTAGGTCTGTGATTATGCTGCACCCATGCTTGCTCTAGTGCCTGAGAGAATGCTTGGAGGCTGGAAAAGATGCAAAACGAAGCCATGAGGACATGTGGATAATCCTCGGATGTCCCCGTACAAGTAAATTACTAAATATGAGGAAGGAACTGAATATTTCATGTGCAAGTGATCGTATCACTGAAATTAATGCTTTAATTGGTATCAAGATGCTTAGGCTAACCCACCCTAACCCCTGCACTGAAGCCCTCCAAGCCTTCTGCCTTGAAGGTAGTAATCCTTAATCCCTCCAAATGGATTACCGAAACTGCCAATGTTCTCAGTATGTATAATTTTCATCACCTCTACCAAGAGAGACAACAACGACACTTTCCTGCCCCGTGGGAGATCACTCCTTTCCAAATTACTGTCCCCCCCTTTCCCACCCAAGAAGCTGATTAAAGAATAGTCCTTGCTTCGACAAGAAGCAAAGTACAATGCCTTAAGCCAAATTAATACTTTAGTCAGAGAGCGCTCCCTTTCCCAGATTATTTACACTGATGGATCCTTGCATCAGTCCCATGGTGCAGCTGGAAGTGCAGTTGTTGTGACAGGGAGAGATGGTTCCTTCTCCCATGAGTGTGGAGCGCATCTAAGTAACTGAGCCTCCACTCTTCAAACAGAATTGGTTGCCATAATCCTTGCACTCGAGCGCGTATATGAATCCAAAGTGGACATACTAATTGTAAGTGACTCTTTATCATCCTTGACTGCCCTCAGCTCCCCAAGGCATAACTGACGTGCTTATCTCTGAAGCTAGACACAGATATAGTGAAATAATCAAGGATGGAGTCAGAGTCTGTCTCCTGTGGATTCCTTCCATAATTGGTTTCCGAATGCCATGATAGAACTAAGTTAGCCAAAACCTTTGCTCATAAAGAGGGGAATTGACTACCATCTTTGACTGCCTTTGAGCAGCATGAGGGCTGTAATATTCCGGGAACATCAACAAAATTTCGTAGACTTGAGGCAAAGTGAAATTCACACTAGTTGCTCTATCTATCATCATTCTATTATGCAGGAAGAACCGCACGTCTATGGGTCATCCAATAATGTTAGCAGACTTCTAGATGTTACCACTGCTAGGCTTAGGCTCGGCTACAAGTACCTCTGGGAATTTGTAACATCTGTTGATATAGATTTGACTAAATGTAAACTCTGTCAGCAGAACTATTCGCTTACTTTGCGTCATTATATAATGGAATGTGACAAAATCGCGGAATTCAGAGATAACACCATCAATGGTGTCCAAGAAATGTGTAAGTACTTCATTCATAATTATGTGCTGCCGGGAATCTTAGCGAAGTATCCAAAATTTGCTTACTGTAGGTGCAGCCTGCACATGACTGTAGAGCTGCCGCCCAGTTGGGTGGGTGTGGAGCACATGACTGTAAAGCTGCCGCCCAGTTGGGTGGGTGTGGAGCACATGACTGTAGAGCTGCCGCCCAGTTGGGTGGGTGTGGAGCACATGACTGTAAAGCTGCCGCCCAGTTGGGTGGGTGTGGAGCACATGACTGTAAAGCTGCCGCCCAGTTGGGTGGGTGTGGAGCACATGACTGTAAAGCTGCCGCCCAGTTGGGTGGGTGTGGAGCACATGACTGTAAAGCTGCCGCCCAGTTGGGTGGGTGTGGAGCACGTGACTGTAAAGCTGCCGCCCAGTTGGGTGGGTGTGGAACACATGACTGTAAAGCTGCCGCCCAGTTGGGTGGGTGTGGAGCACGTGACTGTAAAGCTGCCGCCCAGTTGGGTGGGTGTGGAGCACGTGACTGTAAAGCTGCCGCCCAGTTGGGTGGGTGTGGAGCACATGACTGTAAAGCTGCCGCCCAGTTGGGTGGGTGTGGAGCACGTGACTGTAAAGCTGCCGCCCAGTTGGGTGGGTGTGGAGCACGTGACTGTAAAGCTGCCGCCCAGTTGGGTGGGTGTGGAGCACGTGACTGTAAAGCTGCCGCCCAGTTGGGTGGGTGTGGAGCACGTGACTGTAAAGCTGCCGCCCAGTTGGGTGGGTGTGGAGCACGTGACTGTAAAGCTGCCGCCCAGTTGGGTGGGTGTGGAGCACGTGACTGTAAAGCTGCCGCCCAGTTGGGTGGGTGTGGAGCACGTGACTGTAAAGCTGCCGCCCAGTTGGGTGGGCGTGGAGCACATGACTAACGCTGCCGCCCAGTTGGGTGGGTGTGGAGCACGTGACTGTAAAGCTGCCGCCCAGTTGGGTGGGTGTCACGACCCTTGAGACTAAATAATGTTCTTCTCCCCACAGTGTAAAGAACCAATAAAAATCTGCCATGCCAATAGGTGTCTTGGGGTATAATTAATCACTGTATAAAACGGGAGAACAATATATTTTGCTAAGGGTGACAACTTAACAACCATTAAATAAATAGTAGCCAGAAATATTTATCAGCATGTAATACTATAGAATGCAAGTAATTATTTGAGACCTGAGCACTATCACCAGAATAAGGAGTAAGCCATAAATACACTAAAATCGTCTATCCAGATAAATTAATATTTATATGGGCTTAAAATAACAAAAACCAAGAACTTAGCTTAAACACAACTGCACTCGACCGCAGCCGCCACTCTACTGCCCAGGACGTGGTCCGCAGGCCCAACGTCGACTAACCGTCTACCCAAACACCAATTAATGTTCGCATGAACATTGTGAACATTCTATTTACAAAGGTCAGCCCTAAACTCCAACATTATTAGCTAAGAGTTGTAATTACTGGTCTCACATTCCTTGAAATATTACGGCTACCAATATGGGAATAAATAAATAATAAAACTGTAGGCAATTGATATGCTAACAATCGCCCTGGCCATTCCCAAATATTGTCAACCGCCCACACGGCTAATTTCACGTGACATCCACCACCAAAACAACCTTACACACACTACTCGGCTATCTATGTTATATATATATAATTTATATATATCTATATACACAAATCTTATACAACTGACAGCAATATTTACGTAGAGAAAACAATAACATAATACGAGGTTCGGGAGAATTGGCAGAATCGTAATAAGATTCGTGACATGGAGCAAGACTAGTAACTGTGACTCATCATAGATGTAAAGTGCCTTGTATAGTTGACTGTTGTGAACCTCTTGTTGAATCACTTGTGATAAAAAAGATTATCGATATGTGTGAATATATTTGTGTAAATGACTGTATATAAATGTACATGTATATATAACATCAATAATTGTGTAACTAGCTTCAAAAGATTGTTACTTGCTCGGCTAAATGAACTATGAGTTCAGTTTCTGAACCGATTATGCGCCTCTGTAACCCCTTCCACCACCGCCCACGGAATAGGTATGGGGTGCATTACAAAGAAATTAAAAAAATCAACGAATAATAACAATGTACTCTTTGCTTCACTCTCTCGACGCCAGGTTTTATTACAACTAGACCACCCTGTTCGTAACATTATCGCTAATTTAGTCCAGGGTTCGTATCTTCTTCAAGGTGTTAGTGGAAATTTGCTGTATATCTAAGCTAGTTTCTGGTCCCTAGCTGACCTTCGTTGGCGCCTCGCAAACCTTAACTGGTTTATTTCATATATATAAAAAAATGTGTGAATGGAGGCTAGAGGCTTGGGGCAAGCCGGCCTCGCCCATCCTTCACACATGAAACATGGAGATGGGGGGATGGGGCCCTCCCCATAACGTCATTATAACTTCATTACCCATAACGTCATTATAACTTCATTACCCATAACGTCATTATAACTTCATTACCCATAACGTCATTATAACTTCATTACCCATAACGTCATTATAACTTCATTACCCATAACGTCATTATAACTTCATTACCCATAACGTCATTATAACTTCATTACCCATAACGTCATTATAACTTCATTACCCATAACGTCATTATAACTTCATTACCCATAACGTCATTATAACTTCATTACCCATAACGTCATTATAACTTCATTACCCATAACGTCATTATGGGTAATGTTACAAGCCAGTCGGGTTCGGCACAAGTTTCAGGCTTTCAGGAATATCTGCAAATTTGGCGTGTGTTTGTGTATAACCTGATTTTGGTTAATGAATATAGATACTTTAAACACATAGGTTTCCTTCTATTATTATAAAATGTAATAGTTTATATTTTGCAACTTGTGTAGAAGCAGCAAGCCTGTCCTATAGAACAGGATGGTGCACGCTTAAGTATTGAGTGGAATATTTTAAAATGTACATTGCTGAGCTTGGTAATTTTAACAGAGAAAGCGAGACGGATCCTCCTGTGAGGGCGAGGTGGAATGCTTCAGACAGTGGCGAGGGACCTGCACTGAGCCCGGCCACAGACACGGGAGAGACGGAGGTACCCACGACCCCTCGCTACATGGACCAGCACGCCTCGAACTCCTCTTCGTCCGGTAAAGTGGTATTTCTGCAGCATGGACTGATGGGGTCTTCGGACAACTGGAACACAAACACCAAACAGGACTCTCTAGGTCAGTACGCTCGCCAGGTCTGTTCTACCTCTCTGGTACACTTCTCCAGTCACAGACGCGATATATGCACACATTTTGGGAAACATATTTACACTAAAGCTCAATAATTTAACGTGTGTAAATCAAATGTTTAAGCATGCATAAAATTCATTCTTTGCAGATGATTTTATCATAAGTCATTCAGATTTAGCGGTCATTGATTTTTTTTACTGAAAACTAGAATTATTAATTTCTCGCAGTAATATAATGACACATTCGGGTGGTGTGGATAGAACTTGGACCATCAATGTTCTCAGTGATCATATTTCAACCTGTTCTCTTCCATATTCATGTCAATCCCGCATGTAAGTATAAATCAAAGGTATACACATAAAAGCCAAGACAATGTAAGGTATCCTCTCTCTTCCCTCCAGCTGTAGTTGGGACTCCTAACTTTACTGCTCTTTTGGCTCGAAATATTCCCTCCGTCCCCCTGCTTTGTCAGTCAAACATTCATTCCTCTGTTGCCGTATCTTTGTGAGTAAATGGTACACAGTCTGTTCCATTTATTCCCTCCCACATATTCCACTTTCTCTTCCTGATCTTAAACACCTGTTGGACTCATTACCGGAGCCTTTCCTCCTTGCGGGAGATTGTAACTCGTCATGCCATCTGGCGATGGTCTGACAAACACCCGGGGCCGCCGCCTTGAACCGTTCGTCCTCTTCTTCTTTATATGTCCTGAATTCTGTCGAACCTACTCGTGTTGACTCGCACCCTTTCCTGTATTGCTCCTTCTCTCTGCTCCTCTTCTATTTATATAAACCTGAAGTGGAGGGTCCTTGATGATCACATCAGTGACCATTTCCCCATCCCCATACCTTTTTTTTTTCCTGGCCTCCTCATTTCGTTGGTGGCAGTTAAAAAAGGCTGACTAGAGTCTAAACTACTCTTTCCGGTCACTGACCTACCTCTCCCGCAAGCCCTCCTTCTTTTTTATGACACCTTATTTGACGCTGCCCTCTGCTCTACTCCTCGCTACTCCCGTGGCATGCGGAAGTGCGTTCCCTAGTGGAGTTCGGACTTTACGCTGTAAGCATGCAGCTTGGAAAAGAGGGATCCGATTCATTTGTTTCAGAAGGGGGAGTGCAGTGGCCCATAGGACCATCCGTACTGCTAAGTGTGAGAGTTGGAAATCTTATGTCACCATTATGGCTTAAGAAAATCCAAAAGGTTGAGAGTAAATTTGTTCCAGACATGTCGCCCATCCTTCATGGTTCTGTTGTGGCAGATACGGTGTTGGTCGCAGACGAACTGGGGTCACACTTTCAACAGTTATCTCGAATATTCATCTTCCTCATACTTTCCTCACTGTACCTTCATGCAGGTTCAGTCCCCGACCGAGGACACAATTCCTTTCCCCCCGTCCCATCCCAAATCCTTATCCTGACTCCTTCCCAGTGCTATATAGTCTAATGGCTTGGCACTTTCCCCTGATAGTTCCCTTCCCTTCCTCATTGTATACACCTTATCGAATCTCGTCCCTTAGAGTCCCCTCGATTAAAAGCCTCACATGTATGAATGCACTCTAGCTTCCTGTCCCCCGACACAATAAATTAATTATTATTGTCCCAAGTGCATTGTCCCGCCTAGTCATTCACCATCTTCTTAATGTCCTGATTTTTTTTAGGACGTTGTCTTGCTTTACTAATGTTCCTCGAGGTCTAGTGTCCTTTGATAGAATCCTTAGTGAATCTTATACCTTTGATATCGCTCGCCATATGTGTTTTTGTAATGGTATTGACATCTTAGTGATATTTAGCGTCTTTTTGAATACCCAGCGACACAGAGGGTGCTACATAATCTTCCCTGTTTGGTGCTTTCTTTTGATAATTATTTACCCAAGACCTACATGTCAATATTTGTAAACAACGCAGAGATAAGAGAAGTAAAGACTGAGGACGGGGAAGTGCTGCGGAATGACTGGTTAAACTGAAGGAAAGAGCACACAAATGGTTGTCTGATAACCCTCAGCAAATGTCGAGTAATGTGAGGGGGAAGTTTAACTACTAGGGAGTTAAGGTGATTTTTGTAAACCCGGAGAAGTTAGATAACATGTCAAGGTAGAGTAAAATAAACTCCCAGATTTGAACACGGAAAGAATGACCAAATCTGTACTTAGAACAGAAAATAAGCTTGTGGGACAACGATGGAAGCGCCGTTGCTATGCTTGTTTGTACTTAACTTTTGTTCTCCTATACAGCTTATCTCTTGTCTGACGCTGGCTATGATGTCTGGATGGGTAACTTCCGTGGAAATATTTATTCACGAAGGCATATGAATCTCACGCACAAAGATCCACGTTTTTGGAAATTCAGGCGAGTTTGCAGAGTCATGTATTTAATTGTAATAATGTAAGATTGGGAATTTAACAGCATTATATCTAGTGAATTCTTGCATAATAAATGTGAAAGATTAATGATGGTGGTGGTACAGCTACGACGAGATGGCTCGTTACGACCTGCCCGCCATGCTGGACTACGTCCTGGAGGAGACGGGAGCGAGGCGGCTACACTACCTGGGCCACTCCATGGGCACTACGGTGTTCTTCGCTCTCATGAGTTCCCAGCCGGAGTATCAGCAGAGAGTTGCCTCCATGGTGGCCCTGGCCCCAGTGGCCACCGTTACTAACATTGTTTCTCCTATAAAGTATCTAGCACCATTAGTAAACGAACTGCAGGTAAATGCAATCACTGGCTTTGTTTATTCTGGAAACATGACAACTGGAACTGAAATAGCTTTTAATAAAATATGGTTTGAATAACGTTGGGACCAGACAGAAGGACGGGTGGGGGAGGTTTGACTCGACTCTGAGTCAAAATCTATATGCTAGTAATTTATAAATTGTTGCTTAAATGACATCCTTCTTACAATGTGGTTAAGTAGATGGCCCATCCTGATATAGTGTCTATATAATATATAGTGTATATTATATAATATTTGTTGTAGTTGGTGTTACGGCTCCTGGGGAATGACCAAGAGTTGATGACGAACAGATTACTGATCTCACTGTGGGAACCTTACCGCGTGTGTGGCAGTCACGCCTTCTGTGAGAACCTCCAGTTTCTCATAACTGGCTTTGACCCATCCAGGGCTGATCAGGTAAGTTGTTGTTGTTGACACTTTCATTAACGAGACTGCACTATATGTAATATTAAACAATATAAACCAGGAGTCATATGCAACTTTAAAGACCACAAATGAATAAAATACAAATTAAAAATAAATGGGGAAGATTAGACTTCAAAATACACACACACACACACACATGCACACATGTGTGTGCATGCATGTTTAATGCTAACCAAAGTTACCTTCGACCCTTAATTACTCAACATAAATTTACATTGAAAACAATGACAAACCCCATTCCGAGACAGCACTCTGCACCCTTACTGAAATTTTTGAACGTCACAAATTTTATTCATTTATACAAAAAGGTACAACTGGTTGAGAGCACATACATTGGTGACAGTTACATTCTGGCAAGGCCACTAGCACTCATAGCATTTCCTGCAGTTCCTTAAAGCATAGTTAGAATTTAAGTCTCTGCACAGACATAAGTACACACAGTCATTTCCTAATGTCATTTCAACAATGAGTAATTAAGCTACAAAAAGTGAGGTATCACAATATGCCAAAGACTGGATGAGAAGTGGGAAGGGCCTCTAGCTAGCCACCAGCGACATTACTACTGTCTTTTGAATGTGTCTCTTGTGATACAATTTAAGCCTGTGGTTCAGAGTTGAAACATATAGGTTATTAAACATAATCAAATGACTTTTTCAGTAATACAGTACACTGTAAATTAATATGTCTGGAAATAAAATTGTTTGGTCATGCAAATTGTGCAGGTGGTTATCACAGTGATATCATAAGTGCAGGCTTTCTGCAAGCCTTTACAATAGGAAGTAAAGGCTTGCTGAAAACATTGGAATTAGCTGACATAACCTGTGAACAACTTAACAAATCATGGCTTTAGGAAGACAGTGTCATGTGGAAAAAGGGTACTGTAATTACAATGCTGTTTTTTGCATTACAAAAAAAACTACAATTTACATTTCCTCAAATGATATTACAGTTACAGTAAATATAGTGTACTTGTATTCCTATGTAAAGTTGAGTGATATCTTTAGAAAACCTTATCTTTGAAATTAAAATGTTTCTAGGAAATGGTGCCAGTGATCCTCTCCCACAACCCTGCTGGAGCATCTACACAAACACTGTTCCACTTTGCACAGGGCTTCACGTCAGGTAAAGATCACTCTTGGAAAGTGAGGAATATCAGATTGTCTTAAGTGTGTAAAGCTCTTCTTTAACCTTTCAAGCATAGAAAGATCTCGACTGTTATTCTTAAATTTATATGTTTTAATTATGCAGTACTAAATCGTGTTACAATCAGATTTTCATTAAGTTTCATGTAATTTGCCTATATCATTGTAATACAAATAATTATAATTAATGTTTAAAAAGTTAAATATAGTGTATTTAATGATTGCCATTTTGCACATTGCAGGGCGTTTCCAACATTTTGACTGGGGTAGAGAGAGTAATTTGGAGCGTTATGGCCAAGTTGAGCCTCCAGTGTACAATGTGACAAATATCAATGTTCCCATCACAATGTTTTGGTCATTAAATGATTGGCTTATAGGAGAGAAGGTAACTCCATCATTTGTTTCTCCATATACTATAGATATACATGGAATTTTTTTATTATGAGGATATTACAGTAATATTGATACTTTAAATTAAGTTTTTGGATAAGTAGTGTTCAGTATTTTTATTTTATTCCTAAGATTCTGGACATATAAATAATACTGTACACTGATACTAGCAGTGTAGAAGTAACACAATGTATTTTATTCCATAGGATGTCCATCGGTTGGAGGAGGAGTTGCCACATGTTGAAGCTTGCTACAAAGTTTCTAATCCTATATTCAGTCATTTGGACTTTCTTTGGGCCACTGATGCTCGGTCTCTTGTATATGAAAAAGTTTTTGACATCCTTGATGAAGCTATTAACAAATATTAGTGAAGGAACCAATAATGAACTTGGGACTTTATGTGAATGTCTAGCACTGCACAACAACAATAGCACTGACAGTTGTTAGTCAGGGTCTATAGTTGTAAGATAACCTTATACAGGTACTGTATAGAAGTGTATTTAATAAAACTTATTTTATCTAAATAATGTAGAAAATCTTCTACAGATGGTAGGTTCTAGAACATCTTTTATTGTACTACAATGATGTGTGATTGTGTGTGTGTGAGTATCCGTGTGTAATTGCGTGTGAGTATGCGTGTGTAATTGCGTGTTTGTGTGCAGATGCTTATTAAACACCCCATAACCCACCCCGTGGGCGGCAGTGAAAGTGGTTAGAGGCACACAATGGGTTCAAGAACTGAACCCCAAAAGTTTATTTTGCTAAGCAAGTTAGCCGTGGCAAGCTAGCTTCAGTTTTTAGTGAATTATTATATCGACAATGGGTTCGAGAATGCCCACAAGTCTCTAAGCTTAGGCAATTTACATGTGCTGTGAGCTACTTTTATAATTTGATTTGCTTAACATACACCAACCCCCATTCAGTGGTAGCGATGGAGAGGTAACAATCATCCTCATTTATTACCTACAGTGATCCAAATCCCAAATTTTATTTACTTAAGAAAGTTGCACTAGTCAATGTATGTATGTATCGACAATGGGTTCGAGAACTACGATATGTACAGTATCTCAGCTCAGCAACTTAGATTTTTGGTTAATTAATTTAAATGTGAGAGGATATAATAGTGAAAATAGGTTAGGAGTTGGTAGAATGGAAGGTTAGAAAGGTGGGGTCTACAGCTCAATCTTGCAGGCACAAATAGGTGAATGCAGACTCATCCACAGGCACCTGAAAATGCTCTGTGAGGTGGGGTGGCGAGGAGGAAGGAGCAAAACAGACATGAAGCGCAGTATTGGACAACCCCACATGGGGCGATAAAGGACCAAGTAATTATCAAAGAAGGATAAAGGAGCAAATGCCATCGAGACACCCTGATGAGGAGTCAAGGGCCTCAGACCACCCATGCATGCACCTGAAATCCTCAGCTCGTACCTTGGCCAAGGCAACAAAGGAACTGTCAAGAAGCCCCTCCTATGGGGCTGCGAAGAGCCAGGGAAAAAAAATTGAAACCCATTTGGAGGTCTCTGTAACCCCAGAGAAAATGGGAAAAGGGAGAACTTCATTATTAGGGCATACTAAACTGGTCCAAGCCAACTACGGCCCCACCCTGGGTGTGAAGGCGGCACTAGATTAACTATGGAGGAATAACTACACTATGAAATATTGAAGCTGTGCAACGTTAAAATGGTGATAGAGGCCACACAAAACCACAAGAGGGGTTATGTTGAAGCAGCCGTTAAAAAGCAGAAAACAAAACAAATATATCCCACTACAAAACATATATATCCCACTGTCAACATCAGAGGCCCGAGACTGTTCAACACCCTTTCACTACACATAAGGGGCATAACTAGCCAACCCCTCATAGTGTTCAAGAGAGAACTTGACAAACACCTCCAAAGGATACCTCATCAACCAGGCTGTGACTCATACGTCAGGCTGTAAGTAGCCACGTCCAACAGCCTGGTTGACCAGTTCAGCAACCAGGAGGCCTGGTCAACGACCGGGCCGTGGCAAGCTAAGCCCGAAAACACCTTAAGGTAACCTCAAGGTAGGGGAAGAACCCTTTTTGGAGTCTGATGAAACACTGCAAGCAATTTTGTTTGTTAATGATGCATTTTCCAGAAAACCTTTAATTTGATTTGTCATTTTAATAAATAACAAAAATAATTGTTTTACTGTACCAATGTATTTATATATATATTGCACCATAAAATGTTTACCGAATCTAATGTATTAATTTTATATATGTTCAAAATTAATGAAGAGAATTGCAAGATAGTGGAATATTGACAAAATTATTAGACTGCTTAAGATTATAAAGTTAGTTTTTGTACTGGGTGAGAAAATGCCTGGAATGGGTTCTAATAAAATTAGGATACACAAAGGTACCAAGTTGTTGTGCAAAACGAGCAATTCCATCTGCACTGCTGCAGCAAGGTAATAACCATTTAAGAAGACCGGGAAGACTACGTAGCACTGTAAGCATTGTGGGATGTTCAGAAAGGTACTAAATTTCGCACAGGATGTCAATACTAGAATAAATCGACATAAGGCGAGTGACATCAAAGTACTGGTTTCCCCAAGGATTCAATTGGTGTGGATGTAAGGAAAGAAAGATTTACAAGAATTCTGAAAATCAGGAAATTCTACAAGGTGTAGAATTGTAATGGGAAACGATGTAGTTTGGACAAGGAGGAGCAGGGCAGTGTTCCATTAAATACCCATGAGTTTAGTCAGCCCGTCCTCCAAACAAAGACAAAGTGATTCCATGCACCCGCCAAACCCCCTGTTTATAAATGAAAAACAGTTTACACACGACTCGCAACTGATTTCATTTGAACACTTCTGGAACAAGTGCTTCACTGACGAATTTTGTTCGAACCACAACACTGTAAACGCTTCATCCACATACTACAAATAATTGCCAACAGAACCTAAACACCATGCCTATATATGCACAATATGCTAATATATTATTATATTAATTTATATTTGAGAAAATTCCTGTTTTGAATGAACAGCATGTTAAAATTTATGAATGCGTCTGTGAGGTCGACCGCTGGATGTAATGGACTCGAGTTGAGAACGGGTTGCCCACATATAACAAATATAAATAATCGCCAACAGAATCTCAACATCTAACCTAACCAATGTCTAAATATGCACAATATGCTAATACATAAATTATATTTGAAAAAATTCCTATATTAGCATTTAACAGCATGTTAAAATTTATGAATGCATGTTTAGGGTTGACCGCTGGATGGAATGAACAGAGACTGAGGACGGGTTGCAGGACGCATAGGGTTAAATGACTCTTGAGCCATAAAGGCACAGAGTCAACTGCAATGAGAAGTTGACTTTGGGAAATCAATTGACGAAGTGCATACAAAATTGAATAAAGTTCAGCCATGAAGATGCTTGTCTCAGGAGGCAGACACCACATATAGGCTTGGTCAGGAAAGACAACAGAGTAGCCTACACCACTGGTGGACTTTAACCCATCTGTGAAGAGGGCAATGGAGCATGTGTACAAAGAAAAGTGTTAAAGGAAAAGGCATTTCATAGCAATAGGACGGATAAAAGCCTTTACCATGTGGGTTAAGGTCTTGCAAACCTTTGCAAGTGGGACTCCCTCCATGGGGAACAAGGATGGAATGTCACAATGAGAGATATTGCTAACATGAACTGAGAGGGAATCTTGCAAGACATCCATACAGAAAAAGGAAGGTGATAAAATGAACAGGGCCCACATTAGGGGTAACAGTCAAAGCATGGCATAAGCAAGAGTGAGGGTGTTGCAGGGACTGCGCAAGGCAGCGAAAGCAGTAATGATCACGATGACTGTAGAGACAGAATGCCGGTTTCATCATACAAGCTCTAGGTGAGGGATGAATGAAAACACCAGAGTTGAGGCATAACCCAGTATGGTGCAGAGCATCAATACGACAAGGCACTGCAACAGAGGCAGAGGAGCAGGCGGGACAGCCAAAATTAGAGCATTAAACTCGGAGGTAAGATATACTGAGGGTGACACTGAGGAAAATAAGACTCGCGTCCCTACCAAAACAAAAAAGTCCACTACCTACTCACTTACTCGACTACTACTACTACTCCTCCTCCTCCTGTTTTTCCAGCTTGCTGTGTTGAATCACAACAATGACGAGCAGGAGTAATCTCGGCGGGGTAGTTATGATCGTTCGTCCACGCGGAGTAACTGCTCTCCTCCGCCTCTGTTCATCTAACAATCGACATAATGCCATACTGTCGGCTGCTAGAGAGTCCATAGTCAGATTTAACTTGCAAAGCAGGATTAAAACGCACACCGAGGGGAGCGAGGGTGAGAGTGTGTGTGTGTGTGTCTTGTGTACTATATTGCAGTAGTACTGATGAACTCAAGTCGAGCCTGGCCTCGGGCCGGGCTTGGGGAGAACTCCCAGAACCCCATCAAGCAGGTATGGGGTGATCAAGACAAATAGGAGTCAAAGATCAACCTCAAAAGTTTAGCAGAGTCTTTATACAGAAGAAGTACCATAGTGACAATGGTGGATAATAGAATGAACTGCTTTAATAAGTCTTGGTTGAAGAGAACTTGAAGCCATGATCAGTGGCTCAAGACAACACGGCATCAATTGCAAATTGAAGTTCTCATTGGAAGAAAGGGGAGCTATTGCCCTGACAACAGAGTAAGATAATCAACAAAGGGCCAAAAAATGCCAGAGGGAAGAGAGGAAGGAAGACCATTTAGGGCAACTAGGAAAAGATAGTGGTCAGAATACTACCTTTGGGAACTGCAACAATGGAGGTCTTCACAGCAAATGCAGTACAAATGTACACTTCTAAGTTAATTTAACTAAAACATCAGTTGTGCTGCCACACTTGAAAGCTAAATTTTGAGTGGATGAGGTGGTGATAGTGTTCTAAGAACCACATCAGACGTACATTGACCATATGTTCAAAAAGTTTGCAAATGCTAGTCAGGGCAATGGGGCAAAAATCCTAAGGGAAGTCCCTTGAGTACCGTGTTTCAGAATGGAAAGAATAACTGCCTCAAGCTAGTCCATGGGGGATTGACAACATCTCCCAAATATGGTTATAGATATTAGGCACATACTAAAAAGTGCACTCAGGGAGATGACAAAGCATCTCATAATGAAGGCCATCAGCCTGCCACCATAGAACTGCAGGGGGGTCAAAGCATACTTGAAATCCAAAAGAGAAGAAATTGTTATAGGGGAGCTGTAAACAAGTGCTAAAGTCTAAGGGGCAAGATTTAATAAGGGGTTTATGAGTAAGGAAAGTAGGAGGAAGCAGAGTACCAGAACAGTTGAAAGTGCGAACCCAGTTCGTTCGAGACCAACACTGGATCTGCCATGACAACCATGGAGGTGAACAACAGACAAGATGTCTACAACAAATTTATCCACAATCTTATGGATATTTTTTTCTAGATCTGAGGGAGAGTGGTGTCAACTGGAATATGTGGAGCCATAAGATTTCCAACTTTCATGCAAAGCCATGCAGATGGTCCTACGAGCCACTACATTCACCTTCTTAAACAAAATAAAGTAATCAGATGTCGGGGGGGGGGGTAATCTTGATGTCTCGATGTATGCCTAATGTGTATAAACACACACCAAACATCAGCTTCTGGAGACATGCAAAGTGGTGAAAACTAAGATCAGAAATTGGAGTTCATGGAAATTGGCATAAAAACCATTGAAGAATAAACATAGTCATGAACAGATAGAACAGTAACAATAAATGGAGAAAAACTAAGGCAAAGGACAATAAATTGGGGAGGTCCAGTGAAGTCAGGGTTTGAGGGGGGAGGGGGGTTAGGTAAATCCAGTAAAGATGGTAGTGTCAAGAAAGAGGCGAGAAGGTTAACTGGCATGGTCTGGTGAGTGGCAGTCAAGGGAATGGGGGTGCGGGTGTGGATCAAGGGCAGCATCAGAGGGAGAAGTAAGGGTTGAGAGTTCCCATAGTGATGTCAGTTGACTCCATCTCTTGAGATAAGAGGAGAAGCAGGGGACAGAGAATGAGTTTTCTTCTTATCCACTGGAGAGGAAGAAGGATAGGAACCAGGTTTACTTTTCTGACTGAGACACAGGTGTGCCAGTAGCAATGTGCTGTGTGGCAGCCTCCATAGTGTCAGGTGGAGAGGGAGAATGAGAGTAAACAACACGAGGACATCCAGAAGTAAGAAGGAATTCAGCCTGGATGGACAGTTGTCGATGAGGGACACAGGACATAGGGAAGGGCTGAGAAGAAAAATGGGGACTAAAGGTGGAGGTCAAAGAGAACAGAGAAGAGGGAGGAGGGGAGAAAAGACACCAGGGCAACAAGCAGGAGAAAACTGGGAAGTTAGGGTGGAAATAATGGTCCATGGGTCAGGAGGAACACCCTCAGTTGCAGATCACAGAGTAGCAAGAGGAGGAAAGCTGGCAGAAGTGTTCGGGTTTAAGGCTTGGAAACAATTGTGGACTTGGGAAGTGAAGAAGGGTTGGGAAAAGAAGTGCAATAACACATGGGCATCGGTCATGTTAGAGAGAGAATTTAGATGGTGGACCTAAGGTCTTGCCTTGGGGAAAGATATACAGTACAATGAAGAAGTTTTAAACTGAGGATAGCTTGTTCAAATTTTTAGTGCATGCATGTGCAGGATAAGGAAGAATGGACCTCAGCCCAATTAATGCAGTGAGCTGTAGTAGTAAAGCATTCCGACTTAAAATTACCAGGGTCTCCACACAAGGAGCAAAGGGACACCTCACTAGTGTATTTCACAGGATTATGTCCAAATTTCAAACACCTATTGCAGAGGCATGGAGAGGATGTGTATTGCTGAATGGAGCACCGGCAACAATTATGGAAGACGGAAGGGTCCTGCAATCAAGTGATCTTAACTTTTCAAAGGGGCTGATGACGATGCCCACGAGGGGTTGAGTGAACGTATCAATCAGGTGATAGAATAACCCTGGGCCTCGAGGATATATTTAACACTTTCGCCCGGGCATGACGCAGCATTGCGTCATCCATTTACTGTCGGTAATCTCGGGGATGACGCAGCATTGCGTCATCCATTAAAATAATTGCCAAAAATCAGGTTTTTATCCGATTTTTTGGGACTGTTTGGTAACTGTCAACAAACTGAATGCAATCTGTGACTACAATACAAACATGAAAGGTGTTGATCACTTTGACCAAATGATCAAATATTATCACTTCATAGGGAAAACTCACAAATGGATGAAGAAAATGACCATCTATTTTGTGCAAATGGCTATCTACAATGCTTATGTGATGTACAACTACTACACAAAAAATACTAAACTATAATACTACATATACTAAAATACTAAATACTAAACATTTGTGGGCAGGAATTGGGAGTGTAGCTGGAAGGCGTCTGGGCCCTCACTCGCGGTTAACGTGTGGCCCGTCTTCAACTCGTCGGCGGGTGGAGCGTGACCAGGTTTTTTATTTTATATGCTAATGTTCTTCTAGAGAATTTTATTGCGAACCCATTGATACCAAAATGAAAGACCTAGGACGAAAATTGAGGTGACCAGAGTGAAAAGAGTGAACACATTTTATCGCTTTTGCGTGCTCCTTGGTAACTCGCTCGCAGTTTCTCTGTTTGCTGCGGGTAATTAGCCAGGCTTTTGGAGTTTATATGCATTTAGTTCTGTAGAGAATTCTATTGCGAACACAATGATACCAAATTTAATCTCGTAGAACGAGAATTAAGGTGACAAAGTTGAAGAGAGTATACACTTTTCAGAATTAACGCGCGCTCCCGTGAAACGCTGGGACCCAAATCGCACAGTTGAGGGGTGGTGCGCGGGGCACGCCAAAGTGTTAATATCCTCATAGCAGTCTTTGAGGTCCCTATCTTAACTCACAACATGATGTAGAATTTACACATTTTTCCCATGAAAATAAAAATATCTATAGGGCAGGGGGAACTATCAACATGATGTGGAAGAATGACTATGCCAATGCTGGCATTTAACTTGGCATTTTTGGAAACCAAACCAGGGTCTTACCAACACAGAACAAAGCAACTGACTCTTGAGAAGGGGGCCACAACTACATGTGTGCCAGTCAGGGTGGAGTTAAAAGATATCGGTTGGTATCTAAAGAGGTAATTAGTGACTTATAAATGTGTAAGTCATAAGGTTGTGCATGCTCATCTTAAAAAGATCAAAATTCTTAGGCCATAAAGGAGGCCAATCAAATCCTGGAATGTAGTAGAGTTGGAAGGAATCATGCGTGTTCCAGTGAGGATATGGCAACGGACTCCCGTGAAGGAAGAGGGTAAATGATACATTTGTCAAAATGGAAGACGGAGCCACACCAGATGATGAGGTAGTCACCACCAAAGGCTTGAAGTTCAACCCTGCCAAAGAAATGTGAGGGAAAGAGAAAGGATTGATAGGAATAATCTGAGAGAAAGCTTGGTCTGGACCCACTGCAGATAGAGCTATGGGGCCCGATCTAAAAACACGGTCTGACTTAGGGGGTCTGTTCATCCACCCCAGGAGTCTGAGAAGGGAAAAAGAGGGTCAATAAGTATACATAAAAGTAATCTAAACAAACTTCACTGCCCAGCACCCCTATTCACCACAGAGCCCACATAGAGGGCACTAGCACATGGGGCAAGCAAACCCAGGAAGTAACTGCAACAGTATACATGAGTAACCACTGAGGGGCCGAATGGTATCACAGGGACCGATACGGATACCAACTCCACAATACCCACTTGACCCGATGTCTAACTAGGCACGGCTAACCAGATGAATTAATTTAAATAACCCCCCATCCCCCTTACCAAAGAAGCATGTTACCCCAGGGGCTGCAGCCACTGGGTAGGCTGAACTCTTAGATGAAGGAACATAACGGCATATATGGGTCTTCATACACGGATAACACATGAGGATGTATTCAGCTCATGCACCACCACAGCAGGCAGAAGAGGGAAGCATGAGCAAGAGCTTCCCCCTCCTACCTGTGGGTGGCACACAAGAGCCCCCTCATCACACCAAGATACCATCTACTGCAGGGGGATGTTCATTCAATGCTCTCTGTGTCTATGGCACCTCTACTCCTCACTGGTTTTGTTCTGCACTTCCTCCCGTGTCTTTCACTCCAGTTTGTTATTTGAACTTTGGTTGTTGGTCTGGAGTGGCCTCTCCAGGGCGCAAGGCCAGGGTAGGTTGATATGGGGAAGAAGCTATCACCCATGCAGCAGGTCCCTCTCCATGGCGCCAAGAGTCTCCAATGGAAAGGCAAACGCCAATACGATTGGTTCCAGTGCTGTCGCAGAAGCTATCAGAATGAGGTTGGAGGTAACATCGCACTGCCTTAGAGGCTCCAGCTCCAGAGGTTACCTCAAGTTTGGTGAAAGAAGGCACAGGGACTCCAAACCTGGAGACCACCGTGGTCGGAGCCGGAGAAGAACCATCCCAGCAAGGGCAAGAACGACCCTAGCCACCTGAAGCAGAGCCTGGGCTACACAAGCCCCCTGGAGGTGGACTTCCGAGCCCTGCACCTACGGGTTTCAGACAGAGATCATCACAGCCCCCTTTCACACGAGGCCGGCATCCTTCAAGACCAAGTAGAAGGTAGAGTAATAATTATTAATTGCAACAATTATTATAATTATTATAATAATTAGAATATAATTAATTAATAATTATTACTCTTCCTGCTATGTACAGGGTTCAGATATCAGTGAATATATTGAACTATGTACAAGGTTCAGATATCAGTGAATACAATGCTGGTTATGATGTTCACAGTGGGAGGCAGACATCCACAGCACACGGCAGGAGCAGTTTTATCCATTTACCCATCATGTAGTGGGATCTCATGTTCCTTTAGAAAATAAACTTGTGGAAAATAATTCATATTTATGATTTAGTGACAGGAATCTGATGATAATAGCAGTGTTGAGGCTGGAGTTAGCGATATTGGAGGTATTTTGCTGCATGTGGTGGCGTCGTCTGCTGGTAACAGGTGGCGCTATGCTGTCCTTGGTCATCACTATGCCCACCAGAACTGCTTAGTGGTTCATTATGGTGCATAAAATTGTAAATAGTTATTCATGAAGTGTTTATATAATGTATTAATGACAAAATTTATGTTTTATTGTTCAAAGAATATAATATCTGTAAATTACTGATGAAATATATCTATGCGTATCTACATTCTACATGTTCTACGATACAAATAGCATTATTTAAGATAAAACCTACACTAATGTATTTGTGTATTTTTTGTAAAGATTTACACCTAAATAACCGGATTCTTTCTGTTAACGTGTTTTATAACCTCTTCTGTGATCCTACCCAAAGTCAATGGTAAGGTCTCAAAAACTGGCAGTAGCAAGTACTAATGCATAGAATAAAGGGGGGATAAACAATACGCAATACATTATCACCTTCAACAATATATATTGTATATCCAAGTATAACTACACATATTTACACTATGTCGCTTTCACTCAGGACACTCAATAGATCTGCAGTGTTCATCAAGTCTCAGTGAGTCCACTATCTTCACATATACGTCGTCCACGTTCAATGGCAATCACCGGCGAGTTCACCTTCAACATAGGCCAGTCAACACATCGTATCCTCACGATGTCCCAATACCCCACACCCGCTCTCCAGAAACACTCGCAGAGCGCTTCAGCAACAAGCTGACAAGGGTCTCAAATAGTCACGTACAGGGGTAGCTAACACCCTGGCAGAAGTCTCTAACAACACATTAGCTGTACCCGAGATTTGGCCTCTTTGCCAAATCCTGGGTACGTCAGTCCATACAACATTACATACATCCAGCAGTTAACACACTGCTACTACCGACGGCGGCCACTTTGTCCTCTCACAGGACCAAGTCGGGAGTTCTGGACTGCCCAAGGTGAACTGCCTTCCTCAGCGCAATCACCTCCTCACGTCACCTCTGTGAACATGAACGTCATTAGCTAGACAGTACAGTACAGTATACTGGGTGGCCTTCGGATAACACCCTTCCATCGGGGAACTGAAATTGTGACTGTATTCACAACCTAGATGGTGTTGGTATCGTTACCCCACCCACCAGAGGTCATCATCATCGACCTCACCTCCTAACTGAGGTATGAAACAGGAACCTTTCACCGACACCACACCATCGCCAATAGATGGCGTTGTCTGCGTCTCCTCTAATACCTGGGAGTTGGAGTGCAGGTTCCTAGATGGTGCCAAAATTGCCACTCCACACACTAGCAACGGTGCTGATACCGTAACAGCGTATAAATATATTTCGGTGATAGTTTTTACACGACTTGGAGTATTTCATCCCAAAATTGCCTATAAATTTAAATGAATTCAGAAGTCCACATTAATAGAATTATCAGGGCCCAGCCATTTATAGAAGTGTGTTGCAATACATGACAATGGCTAGGCTGGTTCTTTGCAACACCCTCATAATCCACAAGGCCATGTCAGAGGTTACTCTGTCCAGTAGTATGGTCTGGACTCTGAATAATTTGAAGACTAAACCACACACCAGAAGACAAGATGACGGCGTTTTGGTCAGTCGTGGACCATTATCAAGTCGATTGTCCAGGTCCAGGACAAACCGAAACATCGTCGTCTCCTTATCTTCTGGTGTGTGTCTTCATATCTTCAGCCACGTTATTGTGACTTATCGTCTGCATCAGAATAATTTATTGGGGTATCTCCTAGAGAATTAATCCCAATATTGTTTCTGCTTAAGCATTTTGAATATGTTTTTCTTCTGTAGAATTGCCTGCATCCTCCAAGTTGGTTCTCTTTTAGACCATCGACCAAAGAATATGTTTGCAAGCAGACTTTGTATGCTTTGGCAGTCAATTGTGTGTTTATTATGATTTATTAATAGACTGATTTTATTGAATAAACCCTTTTTCTTGATAATCTCTTTGAGCCTATTATGAGAATTGATGTCAGTTTTCACTTCAATGACCTTGTCATCTGAGTATGTGTTATATGAAATTGAAATGTCTCTGATTATTTCATCATTGTTTGTAAAGATCAGATGTAGAGTATTTATGTTCCTAGTTGGTTCTGTAATCTGCTGATTGAGCAAAAATTTGCCACAGAAACTAAGTAGTTCTCTGACCTGGGGTTGGTTATTTCCAGGTTCATTTCTTGAAATTCTAGAGTAAAGTTGACTCTGCCCCTTCATGCAACCCTGGCCATGGTAAACTTTTAACAAAAGGTAAATTAAGAATTATATACTGTAGCTTAGGATTTAATAAGTTAACAACAGGTAATAAGAGACTATACTGGTTTAAACAAGACAGATGGAAAATTCAATGAAACTTTATAAACAAATTTCAGTAAATCTACCGACTTACATATTTGATGTCTGCCCATTATTTCCATAGCTATCACGTGTCCACTCTTATCCCTAGTGATGAAAACCAGTCTTGGCATTTTACTTTTGCTGAACCATTTAATACCGTTGCTTTTAGTGTGCTTGCTTCAGAGTTGTCTTTTCTTATCAAGTTGAAAGTCTGATTGTTGTTAGATAAAATGCCAGCTGAACTTATCTCCTTGCTGATATCCAAGGACTGGGCAGTCACGTCTAGGTCGTGCCTGAGTGGTGAGATTACATGACAGGCTTTAAATGTCCCCAATGCAAAGAGAGAATGTAATTAAATAAAATGGAAGCTTAAATATTCTAAATAGAAATGTCTTAACCATATGTGGATGAACAATACATTGTACTTAATACAGAAGTTAGGCAGTCACACACTAGACTTCATTAGACCATTTTGGGAGTTTGAATTCCTTGTGGGCTTATAAATGAGGAGTTGGGTCTTGCGTGATTCCTTTTTGGGGAATTTTCATTATACACTTAACACTTTCGCGCTCCGTGGAAACTCGCGGTTGACAGGGAGATAGTGGCCCCTCCGTGCGGGTAAGCGCGCGGTGACACCCAAATGTGTATACTCATTCCAGCTTTCTCACCTTAATTCTCGTGCTACGTCGCTCGTTTTGGTATCATTGTGTTCGCAATTAAATTCTCTACAGGTGTGTATAAATATAATGTCCAAAAGCCTAGCGTGACTCCCAACAGCAAAGCGTAAAGTCGGCAAAAACGCACAAAATCAGTAACATGTGCATTCTCGTTCCATTTTTTAACCTTAATTCTCGTGCTACGTTGCTCGATTTGGTATCATTGTGTTCGCAATTAAATTCCCCACAGATGTGTATGAATAAAATGTACAAAAGGCTGGAGTGCCTCCCCGCAGAAAAGCCTGAAGTTACCCGTGAACGAGCACCATTTTGTACATTGCAACCTAATGTTCAACTCGTTCAATTGATAACATCAAATTTCGTGCTACGTCGCTCGTTTTGGTATCAAATTGTTCGCAATAAAAAGGCGATTATTTTAAAACTAGTCCCAGAATAATAGAACAATAACTGGATTTTTAACAAATATTGTAATTCTGGACGCTCATCATCACAAATTTATTTATATCTTTCCAGTGTTCTGACATAAATATTTGTGTTACATCTTTCATTTTGGTATCAAATTGTTCGCAATAAAAAGGCGCGCATTTTAAAACTAGTCCCAAGATAATAGGACAATAAATAGAATTTTAACATATATTTTAATATTCGGACCATAGGCCTATTTATAATATTTCAAGTGTTTGGACATCAAGTTTCATGTTATATCTTTGATTTTGGTATCAAATTGTGTGCAATCTAAAGGCGCTTATTTTAAAACCACTACCAGATTGATCTGATAAAATTTAAATTTTTAAAAAATGTTTTAATGAGTGACTCAGTATTGCGTCGTTGGAACACATTCAGTAGAAAAATGAGTGACGAGCTATTCAGTCTGTGGAACGCGAAAGTGTTAATCAAGTCATGGGATTGTAATAAATGGGGACCTTGTCTGGAGGTCAAACACATGAGAGAGAGAGAGAGAGAGAGAGCTCCCATGCGGGCAACTCCACACCCGTAGGAATATTGTACTGCACACCTACACTAAATGGCTCTCAATAAAACCCATCACCACCATTCATTCACTGGCAGTTGTACTAACATTCAGGCTTCTCAATCTATTGGTTACATTATCACAATAAAATACATACTAGGTAAGAACTACAAAACAACTCAAAACGTCTTACAGTTAAAAGCATTTGTCAAATGCCGTGTGTTGGCTGATGCCATGTGTTGGCTGATGATGTGTGTTGGCTGATGATGTGTGTTGACTGATGATGTGTGTTGGCTGATGATGTGTGTTGGCTGATGCCATGTGTTGGCTGATGATGTGTGTTGGCTGATGATGTGTGTTGACTGATGATGTGTGTTGGCTGATGATGTGTGTTGGCTGATGATGTGTGTTGACTGATGATGTGTGTTGACTGATGATGTGTGTTGGCTGATGATGTGTGTTGACTGATGATGTGTGTTGACTGATGATGTGTGTTGGCTGATGATGTGTGTTGACTGATGATGTGTGTTGACTGATGATGTGTGTTGGCTGATGATGTGTGTTGACTGATGATGTGTGTTGGCTGATGATGTGTGTTGACTGATGATGTGTGTTGGCTGATGATGTGTGTTGACTGATGATGTGTGTTGACTGATGATGTGTGTTGGCTGATGATGTGTGTTGACTGATGATGTGTGTTGACTGATGATGTGTGTTGACTGATGATGTGTGTTGACTGATGATGTGTGTTGACTGATGATTTGTGTTGGCTGATGATGTGTGTTGACTGATGATGTGTGTTGGCTGATGTGTGTTGACTGATGATGTGTGTTGACTGATGATGTGTGTTGGCTGATGATGTGTGTTGACTGATGATGTGTGTTGGCTGATGATGTGTGTTGGCTGATGATGTGTGTTGGCTGATGATGTGTGTTGGCTGATGATGTGTGTTGGCTGATGATGTGTGTTGGCTGATGATGTGTGTTGGCTGATGATGTGTGTTGACTGATGATGTGTGTTGACTGATGATGTGTGTTGACTGATGATGTGTGTTGGCTGATGATGTGTGTTGACTGATGATGTGTGTTGACTGATGATGTGTGTTGACTGATGATGTGAGCTGATCAAAGCTGTGTAATTACCTAAGTAATTACACCACTTAGGATAACTCATCCTGTAACTACACCAAATTCAAATTCAAAGTGTAGTTCAAATTCGAAATTCAAATTCAAATGTTTATTCAGGTAAAGTACATACATACAAGGGGTGATACAAATATTGCTGAATTTATAGATAGAGCTAATACATACAATGCCTAAAGCCGCCACTACGCAAAGCGTTTCGGGCAGGAAAAACACTAAAGACTAAAACTTAATACTAATTGAGATTAAAGTATAAAATGTGTTGAGACAATATAAAAATAAAAAAGGGGAAACATGGCAGAAAAACAGCAAAAATACAATTTGGTCGACAAACAGCATTGTTTAAAAATAACAGACATGGGTTGACATTATAGGGGTAAGGTAGGTTACAGGGAGTTAATTAGGTAGTGCTTAGTTTTTATCTTAAACTGGTTGAGAGAGGTACAGTCTTTAACATGATTGGGAAGGTCATTCCACATTCTGGGTCCCTTGATTTGTAAAGCATTTCTAGTTTGATTAAGTCATACTCTTGGAATGTGAAAAAAGGTATTTGATTCTGGTGTGGTGTTCATGAGTTCTGTTACAACCTTCAATGAAGCTTTTAAGGTCAGGATTGGCATTACAGTTCAGCGTTTTATATATATATATAATACACATGAGCGGATGTGCAGTGACTTAAGGGGGCGTTATTCACAAAATATGCAAAAAATGAAAACTCGTTCAATTTCAATCAAACTTTTTTGACAAGTTGTATATGAAAAGGGTTTCATTTGGTTAAAGTCTCAGCATCGTAGCATAAATAGGAAGGACGAAAAAAAATATTGAATTATGTGTCAAAAATTTTCAAAAATGGTCAAAAAAGATTATCAAACAAAAATGTCAACTGAAATCATGTCTATGACTCACAGGTATCACAATAGCATATATTAAAAACAAATTATAATTAGTTTTATTAACAAAAAATTTAGTTAAAAAAAAAAAAAGTCAAATTTCACTTTTTTATTTTTTTTAATTTTATCTGTCTCTTTTGTTTATGGGTCGATTTGCATGAAACTTATACACCTGACTGCACGTAAGCCTATCTGTAAGGGGGCCAATTTTGGAGGAAATTGGTTGATGTCAACTTCAGCCACAGAGGGCAACACCTTAGACTTTATTTTTTACTTACTTGAACATGAATATCTTTTTCATTTTTTATGCAATTTACATGAAACTTACACATTATATATAAATTTTATGTCTCTAAAATCGTTTGCAAATGTTTTTATCTTGAGTTCTTTATTGACTTTATAATAGCAATAAACATGATATATTTGCATAATTTTGGGGGGGAACTTAGACTATTTGTATTAGGAAAACTAAAGACGTTTTGGAAAATCTTTTGCTAGAGATCCTTTATTATATGTTAATGTATCAGAAAAGTGTCATAGAATGATTATATCTGAAAGGTGTGGTTGTAAATTTACAAGACAAAAATAAGTAAGTAATTATCAAAAGAAGGCACCAAACCGGGAAGGCTATGTAGCACCATCAAATACGCAAAATAATCAGAGGGCGCTAAATATCACCAAGGATGCCAATACGAGAACAAAAACGCATAAGGCGAACGATATCAAAAGTATCCGAGTCACCAAGAATTCTATCGAGGGACAGGTGACCGCGAGGGGCGGTCGGAAAGCAAGACACACGCTCGTCCTGGAAGTCAGGACATTCAAGAAGGACATGCACGACCGTAAGAGGGACAATGCAACTAGGACAATAAGGAGCAGGGCGGCGCTCCATCAAGTGACCATGGGTTAAGCGAGTATGGCCAATACGCAACCTCGCCAGAGCTGTTTCCCACCGCCGGTTACGGTGGAAGGAGGACGGCCACGAGGAAACACAACATTTAAGAGTACGTAGCTTGTTACCAGTAACAGACAACCAAGAAGCCTGCCAACGGGTAAGGACTGAGGAATGGATAACCGGGTAAAAGTCGGAATACGGAATGCCTTTACGAGAGATGGGACAAGAGCGGACAGCTTCCTTAGCGGCAGCATCCGCACGCTCATTTAAAGACACGCCAATATGGCTGGGAACCCAACAAAACTCAACCGACTTAAATTTACTGTGAACGAGAAACAGCCAATGCTGGATCTCGACAACTACCGGATGAACTGGATTAAAGCACCCGAGAGCCATGAGGGCACTACGAGAGTCAACAACAACCACAAAGGAAGACTGACAACGAGAAAGCAGGAGACGAAGAGCATAGAGAATAGCATAAAGTTCCGCTGTAAAGATGCTAGTCTCCGGAGGCAAGCGACACATATAAGTGCGATCAGGAAAAACAACAGAGTAGCCAACACCGTCCGCTGACTTAGACCCATCGGTGAAGACAGAAACGGAGCGGGAGTGAGAAGAAAAGTGCTCGAGGAAAAGGCGTTTTAGAACTGTAGGAGGGGTAAAAGCTTTAGTGATACGAGTCAAGGATGTACAAAACCGCGGAAGAGGGACCCTCCACG